AGCCCGCGGCACGGTGGCACGCGCACGTCGCCCGCGCTGTCGCTGTCGTTCGAGCTCGAGGTGAAGGGGAAGAAGAAGGAGAAGGAGAAAGAGAAGAAGAAAAAGCGAAGCAAGAGCATGGGCAGCAAGGAGGAGGCGAAGGACGTGGACAAGATGGCGGCCAACAGCGAAGAGAAGACGCCGACCAAGATGAAGAAGAGGTGGATGACGATGCGAAAGATGAACTCGGGCAAGGTGCCCAAGGCGATGAGCGACACCATGGTGGCGACGCGCGACGAGGCCGAAGAGCAGCAGCAGCTGCAGGGGGGCAGCTCCGAGGTGTCGCCGCCCGGCCGCAAGGGCGCGTCAGGGTCGAGCTCGCTGTCGGGGCGGAGCAAGAGCGGCCCGATCGCCCGGGCGTCGAAGGCCAAGGCGGCCTCGCCGCGCGTGGTGCGGGCGAACTCGATGGACACGGGCGAGCGGAGGAAGGTGGCGCCGCACGCGGCCGGCGGAGGGAAGGACAGCGGCGGCGGCAGCGGCGGCGGCGGCAGTAAGGGTGGCGGAGGAGAGGACTCGCTAAGCAGCCCGAGCAAGAAGAAGATTAAGAAGGAAAAGGAAAAGAGGAAGAAGGAGAGGAAGAAGGAGAAGGAGAAGATGAAGGAGAAGGACCGACGGTCGTCTTCAGAAGAGGACCAACGACGAATTATTTTTAATCGGTCACAAAAACTCGATATTTAAATAATAAAATTGAATTACACAATAATGTGACTTCAATAACGTGATGAGCTCACATCAATCAACTAACGTTGTAGTTACATGGAAGACTGTACAGAGGCAATTGATTGAAGAAGAGACACACCACAGAGAAAAGAAAGAGGAAGAAATGATGAATGAAGTGGATGGTGGGAAAGAAGAGAATGAGGCTGGCGGTCGTGCCAATTAGTAATCGTGCTCCTTGGGACGACGGCAAGCGATAATCTTGTTCCGGATCCAGTAGCCCACCAGCACCAGGAAGAAGAAACCACTGTTTTCGCAGGGGACGGGGTTAGCCGTGCGTGTGCGGCGTGTGCGGCGTGTGCGGCGTGTGCGGTGGTGTGTGCGGTGGGCGTACAAGATCGAGATGGCGATGATCCACGAGATCTGCACGGCGCTGAGTGCGCTGTGATTCGTGCGCGAGATGTGGAGTCCCTCGAAGTCCAGGAAGCGCCGGTCGTACTTGATCGTGCGTCCCGCCACAGCCGAGTCCCGCGACAGTCCAAACTCAAAGTAGAGTCGGTTGCCAGCGAAGAAGCGTTCGGGGATCTGCTCGAAGTTGAGGTTGAACGCAACGCTGTTGTTGCCCGCCAGCTGCAGCGGCGTCAGGTCCGTGACCTGCCCCCCAGTCATGTGTGAGTGTCAGAAATGAGTGTGAAGTGAAAAAAGATTTGGGGGGGGTGGCCAGTGACTCACCTGAGTGGCGGTGCGGTCGGTGATCCACTTGAAGTCGAACACCTTCAGCTGTGCCTGGAAGGTCCACAAATCCGTCTGGGCCTTGCTCACCGCGAACTGGGGCACAACGTTCGAGGCACACCGCTCAGCTCACTTGTGTGTTGTGTGTTGTGTGTTGTGTGTTGTGTGTTGTGTGTTGTGTGTTGTGTGTTGTGTGTTGTGTGTTGTGTGTGTGGCTTACCTTGTCTGTGCGAAGGAAGTACTCGAATTCCTGTGAGTTGAGCGCGAGCGGGTCGAGTTCGTTGTCGAAGGCGCAGTCGATGCTGTACTCGAACTTTACCGTCTGCGTGCGGTGGAACACAAAGCACACCGGATCGCTGTCGACCTACCAGGCGCCAAGCCAGGAGAAACCCGTCAGACGACCGAAGTCAACGCAGCGTGTGCGGTGTGTGCGTACTCCGGGAATGGGCTTGCAGTTGGGCGTCGGCGAGAGCAGGCGGAAGGAGCACGTGTAGGGGCGCCACCGGGCGCAGGTACTGCCGACGCGATCGAGCGTGCACATGCACACATCTCCCGCGTCCTTGCACACCGACTCGCACTTTTCCTGTCCACCCCCAGCCCCAACACTCTGAAGTGAGTCGAACTCACCGACGACCAAGCGCGCACACGACTGAACGGCCGCAGACAGGCACACACGACGTACCTCGCCGACCTTGCCGTCGCAGGCAGTCATGCTGGGATCAAAGTTCAACAGAGTGTTGTTGCACATCAGCTGCACAAGGCCAAGGGGGAGAGACGACCGCTGCGTGAGCTTCACAGAGGGCATGGGGGCAAAGAAAACAACGCACGAGGGGCGACGCACCTGGTAGACCGAGCAGGTGGCCGCAGCGCCGGGCGGGGCATCAGCCGCACCAACGTGGGCACCATTGCACGTCAACTGCGGTGATCACCGCACACGCAACATACACACACACGCACTGGTGAGCTGTGTGCCCTGCAACAAGACGTAATGGGTGGCATGATGGCGTGTGGAGTGAGGCAGACGTACGTCACGCAGGACACACTCGTCCTTGGCCAGCGTGGGGATGGGTCCACTTGCGCAGTTCACCTATGGCCCCCGGAGAGACGGGTCAGCTAGAGGGACGCCGCTTTCGGCCGTCGCCTTGCTACGTACCTTGTTGACGGTGCATCCGGCCAAGCTGCCGTTGTAGGTCTGTGGGTTGACGTTCACTCCCTCGCACGCCATCTGCACAACAAATAAATGAAAGTGAATCAATAAAAGTAAAGATGAACAAGCAAGAAGGAGATGGAGGGAGTGCCTGGGTGATGGAGCATGCGTAGGTGGAGTCGCACGCCGGGTGGGACACGCCGAAGGGCTCGCTGCAGCGGTCCGTCGAATTGCTGATGGGAGCTCTCTTCATGCCCTGCTTTGCCTTGGCGCTTGGGTGGAAGATGCGTTCCACGAGGAAGGGCGAATCGTTTCCTTGCGCTGCTGCCTCTTCTTCATCTCCATCTTGTGTAGAGGATGATGATTCGGTGGCCCATTTTTTCTGTCGCGCAGAGATGAAGCGATCGCACATCTCGAAGAAGGTGGTGAGGTGCTGCCCCATCTTCTCGGTGCCCTCCTCCACGATCTGGCTCACCGGCACGCTGTTGCCCCACCAGCCGAAGCCCTCCGCCGACGGTGCCGAGATCAGCAAGATCAGCGCAAGCAGCGCCACCATGGCCAGGCCTACCCTCCGCGCCACATCTGACCTCCCTCCAACCATCTTTCGACCCAGTGCCAGCAGAGATCAAGAGAGCTTGAGCTTCTCTGTGGTGTCTGCTCTTCGTCACGTTGTGTCGGGCATTTGTTTTGTTGCATAACACAAATTCCAAAAAAATAATCGCCATCTCCGGACCAATGGCAGAAATTCTTGAAGGGGCCTCTTCGCAGCTCACTGGCCTCTACCGGGAGCGTAGTGGATGGTGGCCCACTTGCCATCGACCAGCCACTGCGCGTCCTTCTTGGCCACGGCCTCGGCCTGCCCGGGAGCCATGCCCACAGCGACCTCCGACTTCAATACGCTGTATAGATGCAGCGGATCAGGGTGATTGCCGATGGTGTGTTGACAGGAGGAGGGAGGTACCGAAGGGCGACAACGTGAGTCGGGAAGTAGGAGGCGAGCGAGACGAAGGAGGTGGTGTGCGGGTAGTAGTAGTCGCCCACCAGCCGTCGGTAGTTGGCGTCGCCCTTGACAAAGGCCATGCGGCTCTGGTGCAGGTCGTGGTACAGATCGGGGAACTTGGCCTCCAGCCGATCGAAGAACAGGGCCGAGTTCCAGAACCGGTGGGGTCGCAGCTTCCACTGGCCGGCTTCGATGAAGTGGCGCCACTTCTGCGCCATACCCGCCAAGTCGGCAGCTCTGGTCTCATCCGAGTTCTGCGTGTGGGCCGTGTGTGTGCGTGTGCGGTGGTACGTGTGCGTGCGGTGTGTCAGGTAAACGCTGTCAACGCGCACGAGTGAGGTGATCCTGCATACCTTGGCTGCCTCTTCCAGGGCGTCGATGAGTTGGTAGATGTCCTTCGGCATGGCGTCCGACACGAACATGGGATCTCTCTGTGTCACGGGATGGCCACACAGTGTGAGCACAGCGCAGCACGAACGTAAAAGGGAGGCTCGCGGGCACTTACCTTGGTGTGCAGGTGCACTTCGGCGCCGAGGAGCTCGGTGAGCGCGTGTGCGAAGCACAGGTCGCTGAAGAGCTCGAGCCCGCTGTTGTCCAAAATGATGTCGACGCGCTTCCTCTCCTTCGCGTCCCGAAGCTGCAGCAGGTGCCGCAGCACTTGCGGCGATTCGTCCACCAGCAGGTACTTCATCTCCTCGGCCGCTCCCGCCTCGTCTGCCGCACTGTCCCCTGTTGTGTGTCCACTGATGAGCACTGGGCCGCCGCCGACGAGTAGTTAAGGTGGCGGTCTCGCTTTACCCTTGCTCAGCTTTTGATGGACGAGCGCCAGCGGGTCCTCGGAGACCGAGAACAGAGAAAGGTCGGCCTTGTTGCCCCAAAGCGAGCGCAGCACGAACAGCTCGACCGCTTCCTCGACCACGCCTGAATCGGACGATCACGCCGGTGAGTACTGGTTTCCATTCTTTGGGAGTTTGGGGCATCGACATCCGTACTGGCATCGGATTGCGCGCGCTGGAGGATATCGACAAGAGCGAGCGCGATGCTCTTCATGACGTGCAGCGACTCGGTGATGCCGTCGAGCTTGGTGCGCGAGAAAACATCATACTTGTTCAAAAAGTATTGACTCTCCTGCAGCATGCGTCTGCACACCGACACCGACACACGACAGCACGACCACGATGGAGTCACGATCATGTGGTATGTCGTGGTTAGTTTATGGTCAATCTGTCGTGCAGCTAAGAGGTGAAGAAGAGGAAACGGGTACCGGTAGTAGTACGCCTCGAGCCAGTAGAACGGGAGCTCGTCCCATCGCTTGCCCTCGTGCTCCCGCATGTACTCCTTCCACTCCTCTGTGCACGCGAGGCCCACGGTTGTGTTTCGGACATACGCGCACTCGTGAGGAGGTGAGCAGCAAAACAGATGGGCCGAGAGGCGTGCACGCACCAACGTCCTCACACGCGGTGCGCTCCTCTTCGCTGCTCGCTTGAATCGGCTTAATCACCCTGCCAGCCGATCAAACATGAGTGAACGGGTCAAGGTGGAGAGTTGAATCAGCACAACGCACCCCGCATTTTCAATCTCCTCTTTCAATTTTTGGAGATTTTCAATGGCAAGAGGTGGCAGATGTTGGGCACCATCGCGGATAACGTCGCCCACGTATTGGGGCAGCCGCTTCTTGAACGTGAGATAGCCCCACGAGCTTTTGTCCGTCAAATTGATCAGCTTTGCTTCCGTCATCGATGTTTTTTTTTGTGTTCCCAAAATACAAATATAAAATATAAATAAAAAAGGTCGCAGAGGAAAAGAACGAAGAGCGATGAGACGAAACGTTAGGCGTTGCGCAGCAGAGTGACCTTGCCGAAGCCGGTGCTGTTGTGGCTGGCCAGCATCACGGACAGCACCGAGGGCTCAGTGAGCAACGGCATTGCTGGGTGGTTGTGTGAAGCATCATCAGTTCCAATTGTGGGGGTATACACTCAGCGCTAGCAGAGAAGCCGCCCGTACCCAGCTCGGGCAGCGTGTCCAGGGGGACCGAAAGCAAGTCCACGAATACGGAGAAGTCGCCGTGGTGTTCCAGCACCCACGCGCGATAACCAGGAGAGCTGGGTGCACCGCTCACCAGCAGCGATTGGTCTGTCGTGTGTCATCATTGTGCGTGAGTCTCCACTGCATAAAAGCGAAAAGAAGAGACGATTGGGAGGGAGGGGGGGTTAAGCACTGGTGGCGCTGTTGGTAACGACGGCTGCGCCCCACTGTTGGCTGCCCAGAAAGATCGCTGCGCGCTGGTCAGTCGCATTTGTTTGCAGATTCCACCCGTGCACAATTCCCGTCCTTTCCCTGACCTGGACAAGAGAGTGTGAGTGTCAGGATAAACGACACATGCACGCAGGCAGCGCTCCTTTAGAAACGCAGGCGGACGCACGTGGGACCACAGGATGTAGTTATCCCAGCCGAAGAGGTTGTACACTTGGGCCTGGGGATACACCACCGAGATGTACTTGCTGCATGGTGGGCAATGGTGAGTGATCACAATTCTGTGTTAGAATGCCACGAGGACCCTAAACCGCGAAAGAGAAACATACAGCGACTTGACGCCGACCTGCAGCTTCACGATTTCGTCATTGCCCTTGCCATCCGACCTGTGTCCGTGGGCGGTTAGTGGTTTTAAGCAGTGCAGAGTGCATGTGTGAGTAAAAGAAAGAAGAGCTAGGGAACAGACCTGACAACAAACAGGAAGCCGTTGTGGTATGTGGCATGCGTGATGCGGGAGACCGGGAACCTGCTTTTGAAGTGCTGGCTCAGATCGATGTTGGCCACAGCGGAGAACGACGCCAGGCTGATCGATGTTGTGGTGGTCAGAATGATCATCACACCATCAGCTTCTCACATGTGTAAGAGAAGGAGATCATACTCAACCATGACGATGTTGTCAATGGCGATGAGGAAAAACTGCTGCATCCTGTCCAGGAAGGGCGAGTTGGGAATCAGGCGCTGGTACTGACCGCTCATCGCTATGCTGCTGTTGGCCCAGTTGCCGGACTTGAGATCGTAGACTTTCATGTTCTGTGGGCGTGCATGTTATGTGCTGCTTAGCTAGGGCACTGCACAAAGCAACACTGCGGCCTTTGTCGGTGATCAAAGCATGCATACGAGGTAGCCTGGAGTGTAGTCATAGAGCTCGACGACCATGCGGCCGGTCGTCGGGTCAAACCCAAAGCCCTGCACCACGGTCAGGCCTTGCTTGTAGTCCGCACCTTGGAGCTGAGCGTGCGCCAAAACATAAATGTCAGTGACCACACCGGCACCAGCCCAGTACTGTCGCGGAACAGCACGACGCGGCTGGTACCTTGACACCAGAGAGGCCGATGGAGGTGCCGGCGACACTGCCCCACCACAGGTCGTCCGCACTGAGGAAGGAATAGACCTGGCCAAACGCCGAGGCGGACACCCACTGGGCGGTGCGGTCGTTCAAGTTGAGCGAGCTGACCTCACGCAGCTTCGCCTCTGTTCAGGGGTTCGGGCGTGTAATATCCCATGAGCTGCCGGAGACAAACGCCACAGCCCGAGGTAGCGGTACCAGCCAGGAGAGCGCCGAGTAGAGCCAGGGCGAGGAGCAAGAGGAGAGGGACACGACGAGTCAGCAGCCTCATGTTCATCCAAGGGGGCAAAGGAAGGACTGTGTCGGGCCAACTCGCACATGTGGTTGGTCGTTGGGGGCAAATTTAGAGAAATCAACTTTTCCTTTCCTTGCTGACGTCATCAGCTAATTCTGGAGGCCACAAAGATGAAGCTGGACGTGTTGTTCTGGGCGCTGATCGGCTTCTCCCAGCTTGCAACGTGGTGCCCTACGAACCCATCCCCAATTTTATGCGCTTTCCGTTGGCGATCACACTTTCCATCTGTCCAATTCCATTAATCGACATCAATGCAGGAACATCCACTTTGAGAACTGGGAGCACGGGTGGGGCAACCACAACGCCTTCTGGGCCAGAAGACTCCCTGTCGGCGTTCCCGCTGCTGTACACGCTGCCTCACCCCTCCATCGCACTAGCTCTCTACGCTTCCATCTGCTGATGGCTAACATCCATCTTCAATGCCACATCTGGGCGCTCAGGCCCTGACGCATCTGGGAACGCTGGCGTTCGTGGTCGCAGTGCTTCAGCTGACTCGCAAGCGCCTGCTCATGGCCCTGGGCCTGCTCCTCGGCCTCCCCTTCGTGTGGTGGGTCCTTTACCACTGCTGGGTGCCCTATCTCTTCGACTGCAACAGCCTCTGGCACCACGGCGGCAGCTACCGCCACTTTGACTTCAAGGTATGCGCATCATCGCACACGATACACACACCGCACACACGTGGCGCACCACACACATGTGTGTGTGACTCACTGCGTGCGGAATGGCGTGTGCAGAGCATGGCGTGGAAGTCGGGCGTCGACTACGCAAAGCCCAAGGTCATGCTGAGGGCGTGGGCCAAGGAGTACCGCGACAGCATTCGCGTGGTGCCGCTCCTGCACGACTCGCCCTTCTTTGTCGACCTCGGCAGCATGCTGCTCACGGCGCTGCTCGTCCTGGCCTACTACTACTCGCTCAAGGCCTTCGTGTGGCCGCGCGACGGCTGCGACGAGGTGGTCGACCAGCCGGCCACCGACAAGAACGCGGGCAAGAAGAAGCAAGAGGAGGAGAAGAAGCAACAGAAGGAGAAGGTAGACGAGAAGAAGAAGAAGCAGCAAGAGGAAGTACCTACCAAGAGCGGGAGCAGCAGCAGGAAGCAGGGGGAGACGAAGAAGGGCGCTGCTGGTGCGACGCCTTCGAAGAGCAGCAAGAAGAACAACTGAGCGCACTTTTAGTTCCACGCCTTGTTAAAATATTCCACTAAAAGAAGAAAAAAAATATGAACTGAACACCAGGTGGCCACAAAACCAGGGGTGCCCGGCGGGTGGAGTACCACTGCACCCCACCGTCGCGACACGCAGAACAAAGAAATGGAGGAGCTCACGGACGAGGAATTCGGAGGCGGTTTGGAGGGCCTCCCCGTCGAAATCCAACAGTTCATCATCACGCTGCTCGTGGGCCACAAGGGCGCCCTCTTCGCTGCCGGCCTCACGTGCCGCCTCTGGCACCTCCTCACCCTCGGTTCCCTCCCCTGCCCCTCTTGTTCCCCACACCATATTTATTATTCATAATGCTTGTTATTCAACTTTTATGTCCTAACATTTATGAAATAATTGGGCAGAGGACATGGTGTGGCGCAAGTACGCCGTCGAGGAGTGGGGTGCCCTATTGCCTCACCACCACCACTCGCCTCACGAGCAGCAGCGCCAAGGTACCGCCACCCTGCACCTTTGGTAGGAGTCCAATAGGACTGCCACGATCCTTATTCGGTATATCGGCATTCTTCGCATTTCTGAACAGATAACGACTGGCTCATGATGGCGTTCCGCCGCTGGCGCAACCCCGAAGCCGCCAAGGACGCCAAGGTACGGCGAAGGCGGAATCACCTCTTCTTCTCCTCCTCCTCCCTACTTGTTAGGGCTCTGCCCGGGTGTTACCCCTATCTCGGCTCAGCGCTCAGCTTTCCTCCCACGACACCACAGGAGCACACCACCCGGCGAGACTGGGTGCGCGAGACGGTGACGGAGTTGGCCGCCACTGCGATGTTCCCCGCCGCGAGTACGTTGCTAAAAACACATGCGACGCGCAACACGACACGTACGACACGACACACGACCAACGGCGCACGGCGCACGGCGCACACACGACATTCCAGGAATTCACACGTGCGTGAGGCGCGGTCTGAAGAAGCCCATCGAGGAATGGACGGCCACCGGCCACCTTGTGTCCTCGTTGGTCGTGGCCGCGTGCGACACCGCGGTGCCGGCGGAGATCCTCAAGTTGCTGCTCGCCACGCCCAATGCCGTTGGGCATGAGTTTGCCTGGCTGCACCCCTACGGCGACGCCGATGTGGACAGTGCCACCGCTCACGTCCGCATCCAATCTCTCCTCCAATCAGATTCAGTCTTTGATAACACTCGCTCTCTGTTTATGTTGAGTTGACCAATCGTGATGGTGTCCGTTGGGGTCACTGCAGGTCCCTCTGCTGGCGGCGGTCAAGGCCGACAACGCGGCGGCGGTCGGCATGTTGCTCGAGGCCGGCGCGTCGATATACCACCCGGTCGTGTGCTCCCCGCTGCACTACGCCGTCTACAGCGGCGCGCCCAAGGCCATGCTCGAGCGCATGCTGCGACCCGGCGGAGGCGGCAGCCGCCACCCCTCCCGGATCTTGGCGGGCTTCAACCCGCGCCCCGACGTGCGTCTGGGCTGGGGCTACAACTGGAACCTGCACTTTGAGAAGAGCACGCCGCTGATCGAGGCCTGCGCGTCGGGCAACCTCGACGCCATGGACGTGTTCTTGGCCTGGCGCGACCCTTCTACTGAAGAGCCTGTCCGTATCAACCACGTACGTACCATCACACCCTCGCCATCATCATGACCACCATGGAACGACTGAATCAACCGTGTGTCGTGTGTGTCGTGTGTCGTGTGTGTCGTGTGTGTCGTGTGTGTCGTGTGCGTGTGCGACGTGTGGGGGAATGCAGCAAGTTGGTGATGACCTCCTGTTGTGGGTCGCTGTGGAGAGTCTCTTCAAGCACGTGCTTCCGCCCGAGACCGCGCCCGACCCGGCCAAGCAGGCGTTGAGGAACGAGCGCCTGTGGGAGATGCTGCGCACACTGCTCACCATGGGCGCCGACCCCAACCTCCAGGTACGTTACACCCCCCCGCGCGCGCAGCTCTCTTCCACCAGACCCGGTTGCACTCACGGCAGCCGTGGGCGACAGTTGGGCGGGCAAGTGCTGCTGGCGTGGGTCTTGCGGCAGCCGCTGTTTCTCCAGACCCAGGAATTCGTTGAGAAGCTCGTCGGGCTCCTTATGGGTACCGCACACACGCACACACGCACACACGATCTCTGGTCTCTGGCTCACTGGTGGGGCACAAACAGAGCACAAGGCGTTGGCGGCCCAGCCGGAGATGAAGTCGGGCGACTCCCCGATGCACGTGGCCGCGCGCGAGGAGCGCCACCTCAACGCGATGCGACGCCTGCTCCAGTCCGATGTCAGTACGACCACGACCCACACAATCACCACTCACACCAGCTTCGTGTCTGTGTGTGTCGCTGTCGCTGACATGTTCTCTCTTTGCTCTCCCTTTGGCAGACATCGACGTGCCGAACAAGCAGGGCCGCACGCCCGTCCACGAGGCGCTGCTCAAGGGCAAGCTCGAGATGGCGGCCCTGCTCGAGACCCACGGAGCCGACATGCAGCTGCCGGACGTCTACGGTACTTCCCTTTTCTTTTCTTTTTCTTCTTCTTTTCCATGGAAAGAAACAACTTTACAGCGACGTTCGTTGGTTGGTTGACGATGTCGTGATCGTCCAATCAGGCGTGACGCCGGAGCAGCTCAAAGGGCGACAGCAGGCCGGCGTGGGCGACAGCAGGCCGGCGTTCGACATCTTCAGCCTTCCGCCAGCGCCCGTCACGGCTCTTCCCGTCGCCGCCGCGGGCTCGGCGCGGTCCAGGGCCGGGTCCTTCTCAGCCGCAGCCAACATTGCCGATGACGGCGACGACGAGGCGTGGACCCGCGAGACCTTCAGCTTCGGCTTTGGCGAAGACCCTTCATCCGCCACGACCGCCACCTTTGGCAGCAGCCCGACCTTCTCGCTGCACCTGGGCACCACGTCAACATCAACGTCGGCGTCGAGTGGCACGACCGCGCCCGCGCCCGCGCCAACGTTTCCTTCTTCCGCTCCGCTCACCGTGCCGCCATCGCTGTCGTCGTCGAGCTCGAGCGCGCCTGGAGGTACGTTGCCAACCACCGCCCGCCCGCCCGCCCGCCCGGTCGGTGTTGACAGGGGGTTGGTGAGGTACAGGAGGAGTGGACGTGGGCAAGCTATCGTTCACGCCGCCCTCGTTTGAAACGATCGCCGCCAGCGTGGTGTCCAAGCAGAAGAACCACGACCAGACCACCAACAAGCCCAAAACCGGGGTTCGAAATCGCAACGTATGGCCTCACCCCCCATGACACACGACACGACACACCGCACACAACACTTTTTTTCGGCCCAGGAGTGTAGTGATTCACGACTTTGCGCGCGCACACACACACACACACACAGAAGAAGGACGGTGATGATCCGATCGAGGGCCTGGTCGCGCAGTTCAACTGGGAGGCCATGGGCATCAGCTCGAAGGACACAAATCATCGCCTCAACCTGAAGCGCGAGCCTCCCGAGATCTGCCTCTTTCCGCCAGAGCCAGAGCCAGAGCCAGCGCCCGAGCTTGAGCCCGAGCCCGTGGTTAGGGGCCAGATCATGCATGACCTCGAGACCTTCGGCTTCGCCTTCGGCAGCAGTAGCAGCCCCGCGAGCTTCAAGCTGGACGTTGGGCCGACCACGACCGCAAACGCGACGTCGTCGCCCGCTGCCGCCGCCGTTGTTGACCCAACGAACACGGCCGAGCCCGAACCCGAGGCCGTGAAGGCCGAGACCAACGACGGACCCGCGACCCACGAGACATTCAGCTTCGGCTTCGCCTTGGGGGGCCATGAAGACGGGACCTCTGCCAGCACCACGACCACCACCAGTAGCAGCCCTGCGATGTTCGCGCTGGACATTGGGCCGACGACCGCGACACCCGCCGCCACCGCCGGCGCCGCGCCGTTGTTCGCCGCCGCACCCGTTCCCTCCTCGGCGTCAAGCGCAAACGGAGGAGCCGAGCCGTTCAAGCTGTCGTTCACGCCGCCGTCGTTTGAAACGATTCTCGCCAGCGCGCCCAAGAAGAGTGCCGATACGAAAAAGCGGCCCGTACGCTCTCCCCGCACACGCACCGCACCGCACCGCACGCGCCACCGCACACACGACACTCGCCTGCGAAATGTCTTTCGGGAGGCTCACGCGTGTTCTCTTGGTGGTGTATGGTGGTAACACGCAGAAGAAGAAGGACGAGGAGGGTGACCCGATCGCGGACCTGACCAAGGCGTTCAACTGGGCGGCTCTGGGCATCGCGCCCGACGACACAGCCTCCAAGCTGCAGCGCCGTTTGGCTTGGGGCGAGAAGAGCAAGAACGTGTAATGAAAACACTAAAAGTGTTTCAAACAAGTTTGAAATGTATTTCGTTTTCATGGTAGTGTGTCGCCAGCTAAGTTCACTGTTGGGCCGGCGTGGCAGCCGAGGTGAGGGCCAACGCGAGGGTGCGCTCGCGGATGACCAGCTCCAGCTCGCGCTCGCGCAGGAGCATGGCCTCCTCGCGCAGGTGGAGTCGGGCGAGCTGGTCCCGCTCGCGCTGCTCCAGCTCGCGCTCGCGCATCTCGACCCGCTCTTCGCGCAGCCGCAGCTCCTGCTCCTTCATCTGCAGCTGCACCTGCTGTTGTTGATGTTGTTGATGTCGCAGCTGCTGCTCCCGCACCTCCGCTTCGCCGCCGCATCGCCCGGCGCGGTCCTGCTCGTAGAGGGCCATCAGCCGCTCGAGCATACTCTCCACACGCCCGCCAGCGCCATCGCCATCGCCGCAACTCCCGCAATTCCGGGCGGCCGCCGCCGCGGCCTTGCGGGCACGTCGCGATCGAATGCTCGAAGGCTTCGTGGTCTCGTCCCCGTCGGCGCCCTCTTCGTCGTTTTCTTCTTCTTCTTCGGCCGAGACCACCTCCATCTTGACCTCGACCGCCGTCGCCGAGCGCTCAGGCCACTGCGCCGCCGGCTGTTGCTTGAGTGGCTGCAGCTGGGGCTGAGGCTGAGGCTGGAGCTGGGGCGAGGTGCCCACCAGGTTCGGCGAGGCCTCTTCGGATTTGACCTTTTTCCTCCGCTGCTGCACCTGGGGCTGGTGCGGGGGCACTTGGAGGTGCTGTGGCTCGGCCAACTGGGGCGAGGCCGGCGACGTTATTCGCGACCGTTCGTTCTCTGTAGCCCAGCGCCGCCCCAATATTAGCTGTGTGCGTGTGCGGTGGTGTGTGTCGTGCGTGTGCGGTGGCAGGAATGGAGAGGAGGAGCTGTACCGATCTGCTGGGTGGACCACTTGTGGACGTTGCCGAGGTGGCGCTTCATGTTGTACCACGTGGAGATGATCTCGTGGCAGATGGGGCAGTCGCGCTGCTGCTCCCTCTGCACCACCACCCGCCAGTGGTGCACGAACGTACTCCGGTTCTGGAACACCTTCCCGCAGTGCGGGCACTTACTGTTCGCGCAACGAGGAGAGATCGCGTAAGCAACCGCGCGTGTGCGGTTGTGCGTGCGCGTGTGCAATCACGCGTGTGCGGTCGTGTGTGTGCGGAGAGTGCGTACTTGTCGGTGTTGGGCGGGCCTCCGTCATCGTCGTCGGCCTCGCTCATGTAGGGACTGCTCTCGTCGTTGGCTTTCCGCTTCCGTGAGACCGCTGTCGGGCTCACCTCCCTATCATTTTAAAAGAAATATAAATATTAATATATTGCTATGAATATATTGTTCACGTATGTCCATTGGCCAATGTTTATCGCACACACCAACCAAAAAGTAAAGAATGCAAAGTATGCGTACTTCTTCTGCTCGGACTGCATGGCGCCGAGGAAGATGGCCACGTCTTCCTCGATGTTGACGAGCTGCTGCTGGTCGGGCCTCGCGCGCGGTCGTGCCACGATGCTGCCCGCTCGTGACCGAGCTGTGCACACACAATAGAGTGAGCGCGTGCGATCATCGACCGCACACACGCACACGCACACGCACACGCACACGCACACGGATGAGGTGGTGGGTCGTGGTACCAGGTGACGACTCGACGTCGCTGGAGGCGGGCGAGGTGGAGGTGGAGTGGTAGTTGTGCGGGACGTAGGCCTCTTCATCGTCGTACTCCTCCTCTTCCTCCTCTTCGTCTTCGCGGTCGTCGCTCTCGTCATCGAGATACGACATCGCGTCCACGCCTGCGCGCGCACTCGCTTCAGCCTCCCGCACACACCGCACACCATAATCGCACACACGACACGACACGACACAACACGACGCGCGTACAGCTTCGCTGGCGGCGGGTGGACTGGCGGACGGGCCTCTGGTAGACCTCGGGCGGGATGACGGCGGCGCAGGCGGCGACGGTCACGACGGTGGCGGTGGCGGGCGAGGCCGGGGCGACCGCCTCCTCCTCTTCCTCCTCGCCGGTGCCGCCGGCCTTGGGGTGGTTGTGCTCGCCCACGTACTGAATCTCCTTCGTGTGCGGGAAGAAGTGCAGCTTGGCCGAACAGCCTGTCGCACGACACACGCACACAACACACACGACACACGCGTGAGACACGACGAAATGAAGAGCGTGTGTGCGGCGCGCTCCGGACCTTCAACGGAGATGCACTTGTAGTAGATCTTGGTGGTCTGGGGCCATTTCTTGTCCCGTCCGTCCGAGCGCCATTTGTAGCCGTCGTGCGGGAGGTGGTACTTCTTCAACCGGGACTGGTGGAGGTGAGGAAGAAGGTGAGCATACGACGGAATGTTGGGACCCAAAAGCAAAAAAACGGATGCGTAAAGGTCGCGGAACTACTGTCGCACTTCATTATTGGCTGTGAGGTTCAGTTAAAGCTCACTAAAAGCTCCGGATAAGGAAAGAAGGGAGAGATCTGTAGCCGGTGATTAAAGTCTTAATTTAAGTCTAATTTACCATCTTTCTGGGTAACGCGTGCCGATTGGTGAATTTATGTCCGGCTTATGTTCCGCCCCGAAAACGGAGGGAAGGGGAAAGAGGAAGATGAAGAGATTAATCTCTGGGGGAACCTGAAGATTACCACCAGGACCTCCCTCGACCTTGGCCAGAGGTGGTTTCGATAATTTCCCGTGCGTCAAACCATGTTGTTTGCTTGGCACACTTCAGTTCCCTTTTTGGTGGAAGTGATGCACGGACAGGAGGTGGTGAAGGATGAAGAAGGCAAAACGGAAAGAAGGAGATGGACAGGAAAAGAACGAACAGAGGAGACAAAGAACGAACGCGAAAACGACACTGTCGCTTCGCTCTTTGTTGAGGGAGTGGAAGTGAGCTCGCGTACCATGGTGTGCAGTTGGGTGTCGCGAAGAGATAAGCGGCGGCGGTGTCTGTCGTCGTCGTCCGGAGCTCGGTGTGGGTATTACTCCTCCTCTTTTTGTGTGGTGAGCTTCCCCTTTTGCTTCCTCCTGCCGGTCTCTCCTCTTTTCCTCGCACTGCCACGCACTCTCTCTCGCGCCGTTTCTCCTCCCGCTTCGCTGCAGGAGAGGCTTCGCGGTCTGGCCAATCGAGCACGTCGCTGGCAAAACTGTGGTTGGTCTTCCCCCGATAAGCCAGGATCCGCATAAAAACAAGAATTCTTGTGGGAAACTTGAGCGAGATCTCGTGGCAGTATGGAAATATTCAATTTTTGCATTTTAAAACGCTTTTTTGCATTCCATAGTTTCGATTCCGCGAAAAGCAGAGCCAGAAGTGGTTTCAGAGGAGGAAGAAGGAGAAGCGAGGAAGTGGGGATCTGGCCCTCTTTTTGAGATTCAATCCTTGCTTTTGCTTCACAGATTTGCAGGAAGATGACGAGCACGGCTGCGAGGGACAGGAGGAGTATCTTCGCGACGGAGAGTAGGAGCGCGATACGGACACAACCAACAATCGGCGTGGCAGAAAGGGAAGAAGATGAAGATATCGACCAAAGCGCGCAGCGGAGGCAAATGGAACGAAAGATGGACGAGGCGAGGGAAAGTGCGAAAAAGATCACTCCAGATGCTCGACAATTCGCTCGCGACGGGGGTGGATACCATGGTAGAGCTCGATCGACAGGGCGAGCAGCTGCGGCGCGCGAGTCATCGCTTGGACTCAATGGATGGGCACATGAAGGAAAGCGATCGCCTGCTACGCGGGATGGGATCGTGGATGGGCGCTCTCTACAACAAGATCGTGGCTCCCGGCCCAGCCTACCCGACTACCTCTTCATCATCTTCTACGACACGGCAGATCGAACCGCGAGCCGGAGCAAGCGCTGCTACCCGCCCACGTCCCACGTCTGCTCCTCCAACGAGTACAGCATCCGTGAGTTCCCTATTCGTGGATCCCGAAGCGAAGAGATTCTGGGAGGAGACGGACTCCCATCTCGATCAAATGGATGAGAGAATCGAGCGCCTCCGCCAATTGGGAATGGACATGGGCGGCGAGCTCGAGAAGCAGACTCGCGAGATCGAGGAGCTCGACACCAAGGTGCAGCAAACGACCGAGGGTCTCATGGAAAGGACGCTCAAGATCTTTCGGCTCACATGATTCGACGAGCCGCCATCACGAGATTATTTTTGTTTGTAGAGGAACGAGAAGCGCGTGTACATAAAGAGAGCAGCACCTTCACACAAGCACTAGATTGTTGGATCTTCTTGGGTCTTTGTGTCTTGGTCATGTTCATCAAGCGCTGCCGATACCGGATCTGGCCTGGTACAGCTGGAGCGTGTAGTCGCGCACCTCGTCGGTGAGCACTCGGTAGATAAGGTTGCAGCCGTCGATGGCCAGCTTGGCGACCCGCTCGTACATCTCCATGGGCAGCTTGCTCTCCATCTCCATCGACACCACCAGCTGGCTCTTGGGCTCGATCGCCACCAGCAGCTCTGGCCCGCCTGCCGTGTTCTCCACAAAGTTGGGATCTGCAGAGAGAGAGAGAAACAATGAGATGATGAATGAAGTGAACGCCATGAACGCTGGCGGGGTGATGAAGGGCGGAGAGGATACCGAGGAGAGGTGTGCCAGAGATGAAGGCGGCAGAGCATGATGTGATGAAGTCACGCATTGGCACACCGGCATCTATCATCGCCAGCGTCGTGGCGTTGATGGCCGCGCTCAGCGCGCCTAGTGGGATAGATCCAAAAAGCATAACAGATGACAACGACGATGATGATGAGCGCTCATGTCAGAGTTGCATCAAGCACCCATAATGCAATGAATTCATGAGGGCGAAGGGACATGAACGAACCGCCGTCTGACTGGAGGACCTGGACATAGATATCGATCTGTGAACGAGGGTAGAGGGCGGTCATCACCACCGATTCGAACGTCTGTCGAATGAGCATGCCCAGCTCCACAGTTTTTCTAATGAGAGAAAGAGAAAGAGAAAGCGAACGCGAAACGAAGGTGAGACCGTGCACTTCAAGTGAAGCGACAAGGGACAGCTACTGCAACTGCCCAAGAGTTGCGCACAGAGCAAGAAGGGTGGTCAACACGTACTTGTCTGTCTTCTTGCTCTTGCGCTCGCCACTGGCAAAGCCAGCCTTGGGTAGCACCAAGCAGAGAAAGTGAGATGAACCAGTATGTCAAGGCGGACGTACAGCGCGACAAGGGGTGGCAAGATCACGTACGATGCTGTACTCGCACTGTATGATGGCACGATCGTGCAATGTCCGAGATTTTTCCTCAGGCTGCAGCGATTGTAGTTAATGGGGCGAGATTAGAAATGATTTGATGCAATTTAAGAATGAACTTGTGCTTGCATACCTCCTTTGGTCCGTAAATGGTGGCCAGGACTTGCGTGTTGCCCTGCCGGAAGAGCGCGGAGCCATCTGCCTTGCTCACCACGCCCATCTTGGCCTCTATCCGACGCAGCTCGCCCGGTCGTCGGCCATCCATGCGCAGCCCCTCGGGCGACACAAACTCGAACTTGGACATCGTGCTTCGCCTCCTTCAACTCCAATTGAACTTCTCACTGCCCGCTGATCTTCTATTTTCTCACTCATTTTCTCCGGCCAATTTGCGTTGGCGCCAAAAAATGAATGAAGAAAAGGTGATTTTTGGGGATTTCGACGCAGACCATTTTGTTGTGTTGATTTCGAGGGCGCATTCTCATTATTCAAGGGAGGGCAGCCATGAATGGAACGGCAACGAAGACAGCATTCGACACTACGTCTGCCGGCCCCGATCCAGCTGGATCGAAATCGAACGCGCTTGCCGGTGTCAAAAATGCACTAGCCCCCCCTTCCCTCTCCCTTTCCACATCGTCAGCGACGCACCACAATCCCTCCTCCTCGTCTTCATCTTCAGCCGGGGCGGCCTCCAAGCGAAAGGGCTCTGCAGCGCATGCGAATGGCCATCATCAGCCTCAACATCACGGCCAGCTCATGGACGAGGTGGTCAAGTCTGGCGATCTGCCCAACGATGCCAAGATCATCGCGCAGATCCTCAAATCGATGGGAATCGACGAGGTCGAGGGCCGTGTCATCCCGCAGCTGCTCGAGTTCATGCACCGCTACGTGCGCGAGGTGCTCGAAGACGCCGCCATCTACGCCAACCACGCCGGCAAGGCGTCCGTGCTCGACCTCGACGACGTACGTCTGGCCATCCAGTCGCGCGTCAACTACTCCTTCACGCAGCCGCCACCGCGCGAGTTCCTCATCGAGCTCGCCCACACCAAGAATGTCGTTCCGCTGCCCTTCCCTCCACTTCGCTCGCTCCTTCCGTCCTCCTCCACTTCATCATCATCGTCCACTTCACCGTCTCCCCTCTCTTTCCCTTCGCCGCCACCGCCGACGATGTCCGCCGTCGTGCTGCCGCCGCCGCAGTTCCGGGTGAAGCCGCTCAAGTGGGACTGGCCACAGAGCCGCTCGGACTCGACGACGCCTGGCTCCTCTTCATCTCCATCACCTTCACTCTCAACGTCCTCCTCCTCCTCCTCCTCTACATCTTCGTCCTCTTCTTCCTCGTCCTCCGCGCCTGTTCTGTCTTCTTCTCCTTCCAGCGACACACCAGCTTCCTCTTCCTCTTCCTCTTCATCTCCATCCTCTTCCTCTTCACCCAGTTCCTAAAGCAGTTGTTCTTCCTCCTCCTCCTCCTCTTCATCTCTTTCCCACCCTATCTGCTTGTATTTTGGTTCATCTGGTCACCTTGGCCTGTGTAGATAGATTGCCTGATGACCACACTGCTCTCCATTCCTCATTGCCAATTGACAAAGGTGCGCACGCACAAGAGTGGCCACAGGCAGCAAAATGCGTGATGTTGTTCAACAGTTCAGTTGAAGCTGTGAGACATCAGCCAGCCAGTCAGTCCCGGCTAAGCGCGTCGTTGGCCGCATCTGTACAAACCAGCAACACCCAACACCATAAATGAATGAATGAACGCATGAATGAATGAATGAAACGATGGCGCGGCGTACTCTGTTCGGCGCTGACGCGGGTGTAGCCGCTGCCCTTGCCCTTGAGCCGGCCACGCACCGTGACCCCCACCACGAACTTACGCATGTGCGCCGGTCCCGTTTCGCTCAGCAACCTGCCCCGACCCGCACACAGCACGATTGAATTGAGGGTGAGACGAGGGCATTGCATGGGAAGAGATCGATTGGGGGGAGGGGAAGCGCAGGCGTACGTGTAGGTGGGGGGAGCTGATCGGTGGCGCTGGGAGAGGCGGGACTTGGGGTCGAGGTACTGCCGGGTGGCGAGCATGTCCTCAAGACGCGGGAGGAACACCACGCGCACGAACGCCTCGACCACCTCCAGGCCCTTTTCCAGGAACAGCGCACCAATGAACGCTGCACACAACGCACGACACGACACGACACACACGCATACCGCACACGACACAGGCGTGCAGGGTGAGAGAGGAGGCCCAAGGGGGGAAACGGTGGAGACGGTGTGGTGCGGGCACCCTCGACGCAGTCGGCGATCATGCTGTCGGTGACGCCGGTCTGCTCCTTGGTGCTCGGCAGGTAGCGGATGAAGGGCCCGAAGCCCAGGTCCTTTCCGATGCGCCCCAGCACTTGGTTGTTCACCAGCGCAACTCGGTATTGCTGTCCGCACGTGCAAACATACGCACGACACGCACGCCACACACGACACGCACACAACACACGACACACGAGAGAGAGAGAGAGTGAGAGTGGGAGAGAGCCGAAGTGAGTGGCGCCCAAGTGGCGAGCTGTCGAATATGGCGGAGGAGGAAGAGCGGGGTGTACCGTGAGTTGGCCCTCGTTTTGGTCGGGGTAGTGGGCGTAGAGACAGGCGGTCACGACGTACTGCAGCACGGCGTCGCCCAAGAACTCGAGGCGCTGGCTGGTGCCCAGCTTGAGCGTGTCGCAGTCGTCGGTCAGAGACGAGTGCGTGAAGGCCTGGACCCAACACGTCAGCAAATAAATAGACGCAATAAATATAAATAATATTATTTATATTAATATATTTAAATGGTAACAATTATTTTATGGTAATAAATGCAATAAAACAAATAATTGTGGGTGACGCTGACCTGCACGAGTAACCGAATGTGCTTGAACTCGATGCCGGTTTGCTCCTCGAGCTTGGTGTAGCCCTTCATGATGGGCGATGCCTCAATGAGATGCCGATCCGATGGTCCTTCCTGTCGTGTGAGTGCGCGTGTGCGCGTGTGCGCGTGTTTGCCGTGTTTGTCGTGTCACGTGATCCCTACGCACACGCGCACACACCCACAAGTACCTGTAGCGGGTGGGCGCAAGGTTGAAGCCACATGCGGCGGAGGTCGGCCTCGGACTCCGAAAACAAACAGCCGGCGAAGAACTCGCGGCACGCCTCCAGCCCCTGGTCGAGATATAGCGCTCCTGCGCGACACGTTCCGCCGATCAGTCGACACACGACACACGACACACGACACACGACACACGACACACGACACACGACACTGAACGAACCAATGAGCGCCTCGAAGGAGTCGGCGAGCATGTTCCGCCTGCCTTCTTTGCCGCCTTGGGTCAGCTCGGCCACGTCGGCGTAGCACAGCTGTTCGTCGAGATGCAGTCTCTGGGTGAGGTACGCCAGAAACCGGTTGTTGACGAGCCCCGACCGATACTGCGACAGCGGTCCCTCGTCGTGCTGCGGCAACTGTGTCGACACAAAGAGAGACCATCAGCGCGTGTGCTGTGTGTGTGTGCGGTGGTGCGTGTGTCGTGCGGCGGTGACCTGAGTAAAGAGGTGGGCGCTGCAGATGAACTCGAGGACGGCGTCGCCCAGGTACTCGAGGCGCTGGTTGTGTTCGATGGGACTGTACTGGATGACGCTGGGGAGGTGCACTTCGCCCTCGCGCGGGGCGATGGCGCCCGCTCCGGGCGACGCACAGCGCCGATGCGCGCCTTCCTCCCGGCGACGGCGGCGACGGCCCACTCGGCTCGCGACCGTATTGAGCACATGCCCGACTCCGCCGCCATTCACGAACTGTGCGTACGACGAATGCGTGATCGCCTGTGCGCGTGTCGTGAGGCGCGTGTCGTGTGTCGTGTGTGTTGTGTGCGGTTAGAAATGTCGAGCGCGTGAGAGCCGCGGTCCCTGGGGGAAGAGGGGGAGGTGCCTTCTTGAGGAGCTCTTTGTCGCTGAAGGGTGCGGGCAGGATCAGTTCAAACGCGCTCAGCGAAGCCGAGAACCTGATGTGGTGAATCACGCCCGGCAAAAGGGAACCCACCTGAAAAGTCGATCCCGTGGAGCGTGAGCGATCAACGACACGACACAGACGCACACGACACACAACACACACGCACGACACGCGTGTGCTTACGTGACATATGTGGGCGGTAAGTGGCGTCCAGTCGCAGAGTTCGGGGACGAGGCGAATAAGGGTCGCGTTGTGGCCCTCGGGCGGCTGCTTCTGCCATTTCCCGCGGCGCAGGTGGAAGCCCGTGGGCGGATGGACGTCGAGTGCGACCGCCGCAGGGGCTGATTGCGTGTTCCTTTTGTCTCTGGATAGAGCGACAATAAAGATTCTGATACGGGGGCGCGCACAACACACACCGCGCACTATCGCACACGCACCACCGCACACGGACATGCAACGACGTACCGATATCGCTTGGAGTCTGCGCGCACGGTAATGTGTGGAGCGGAGTCTGTGTAGGTCTGGTAATGGTGGATGAGCGGCTGGTCGTCCGTCACCGAGACGCCCAGCTCTTCGTCCCAGTGCCGTCGATAGGAAAGCCGCTGCTCGCGCACGACACTGATGTGTTAGCATGCAAATATGTCGATTGCCATATTGTAAATATGTTACACCAACACGGGGCGATTGCGGATTGGTGGTGTACCCCCTTGGTGGGCGAGTTGAATCGAATAGCGGGCGATTCTGAGAAATCGACATCGTCGGCGCGAAACGCGGTACCATCGACCACCAGGAGTATGTGGTCCACCAGCCGCTCGCTGATCGCCTCCTCCCTGCGATCGGTCCTCATTTTAGTACCGCCTCATTGCGTGAGAAGGCGGCAAGCACCGAGCGGGGCGCACCCAACCTCCCACTGCGGCTGGACATGCTCCGTATGAGCTCGAGCGCGCTGACCCGGCTCTCGGTGATACAGCGCCGCAGGCCGACAGCGCTCATCAGCCGCGTCGGTGGTTCGGTGCTCACGAACCGCGGGAAGAGGTGGAATCGCCGGCAGCCGCCCGCGGCCGTGTAGTCGAGAAAATCGTCGAGCTGCAGGACCGCCCCGAAGAAGAAGGTGTGGAACCAGTCGAGCGCGTCGATCCCGTCATCGTTTCCGCCGCCTTCGCCGCGCAGCAGTCGATCAAGGTCAAACTCGTCTTCGACCTCCGGCTCGAGGTGCGCGTGGTATTCGCTGCGGCCGCCTCCGCTGGTGGTGGTGGCGCCCTGCTCGGCCGGACCCTGGATGAGCAGCCGCGGCAGTGCGCTGAGCTCGATGGGCTCGTGCGACAGCAGCGTGAAGCCATCGAACGTGTAGCTGCGCGCGCCGGCGTCGTCGCGTCGATCCACCAGCACCGTCGGCTTGCCGCCCGCTGGCGACGCAGAAGAGACTGGTCGGACGACGATGCGGTAGGCGTGCAGGCGCAACCGAGCGTGGTTGCAGCACCTGGGGACGCGGGACGGCTCGTGCGGGAACGCGTAGCGCTCCGTGGCGGCGGCGGACGGCTCGGAGCGGCTGCGCGGCTGCGGGCCGTCGCGTGTATGATGATGGCTTGCGTCCTGCATGTGTCGCCAGTCGCGTCGAACGGCATCAACCGATCGCGACGATGTAGAGAAAGCCGAAGAGGAGGAGGAGGAGGAGAAGGACGAAAGTGGTGTGTAACGTGAAGAAGAAGAAGAAGAAGACGACGAAGTGGAAGTAGAACAAGACGAGCGTGAGGTTGGGGAGGAGTGGTGCCGCTTCTGGTCGCGGTGGTCGTAGTCGCTCTCATGCCTGCTGCCGGTACCATGCCTGCGCGTGTCGTTGTCCCGGGCCCTGTCACGCCCACGCCCAGAGTCCGCACTTCGCTCACGCGTCGTCGAATCTGGTTGGGGTGAATCATTATTAGGCCTCCGACGCTGCAACCGGTCGCCCGAACTGCTGGCTCCTTCTGGTGACTGCACGTCGCGCTGCTCGCCCCAGCACCGTTTGCTCATCTTTTTCAGTCCTGAAAATGCGTAAAATAAAATAAAAATAAGTGTGAAACAAGAATTTATTTTTATTTTCTTTTGTTGCATAGATGAAAAGGTGGCGAAAATGCGAGTACCAATGGCCGAAGAGCGTAACGGACTTCCGTGGCGCGAATCAAAACATTTTTACTTTTTTCCCGCGTCCGCTCCGCTTCGCCCACGCCCCCTTTCGGATCCCTGCTTCCCATCCCTCCTCCACCCCCCTCCCATCTTCGCTCGATCTTCGGCTCTCTACCGACTACTCCGTCCTCCCCCACTCGATCTACTCTTCCTTCAACTTCATCCATTCAATCTACCCCTACCTCTGTCCATCAACTTCAAAATGATCAACGAGTACTGCTCCTATCCCCTTCTCGTGACCATCGTGATCTTTCTGTCTCCTCTGTCTATCCTTTCTGCATACTCTCTTCCCCCCTATCCATTGCCTATCTCCCATCGCCCACCCCGTTGATTTCTGCCTTCTGCCGATCTTATTCCTTTCTCCCTTTTCCTCATCAAAGCTTCTCTGGCGACCTTTCTCAAAACAAAAGAACTCAGGACCAGTTCAACTACGATGGAAGCGCCGAGCAGAGCCTGCGGAAGAAGCCCAAGTCGGATCCGCCCTCAGGTCCCTCGTCGGTGCTCCATGTGCGCAATCTCCCGATGGACTGTACCGAGCAGGAGCTGGTGACGATCGCCTGCCCGTTCGGCCGCGTCGAGAAGGTGCTGCTGCTCAAGGGCAAGACCCAGGGCTTCGTGCAGATGCAGGACGTGCAGAGCGCAAGCGCGCTGGTCCAGTGCTACTCGCAGGCGCAGGTCAACATCCGCGGCAAGCCGGTCTACTTCCAGTACTCGCAGCATCAGGCGGTGAACACGGCCACTGGCGATGAGCAGTCGAATCACATCCTGCTCGTGACGGTGACCAATCTCGTCTATCCGGTCACGATCGACATCCTCCACCAGGTCTTCTCGAAGTACGGCGCCATCCACAAGATCGTCATCTTCTCGAAGAAGGGCTTCCAGGCCCTCATCCAGATGGGCGACAAGAATCAGGCCCAGGCGGCCAAGCAGGCCCTCGACGGCCAGAACATCTACAGCGGCTGCTGCACCCTCCGCATCCAGTACTCCAACCTGCCCTCGCTCAACGTCAAGTACAACAACGACAAGAGCCGAGACTTCACCAACAACAACCTGCCCTCGGGTGATGCCGCCGGCCCCGCCGTCGGCCAATTCGGCGGTGCCCTCAACCCCCTCGGCCTCGGCCTCTTCCCCGACGCCTCCTACGGCGGCTACCACGTCAGCCCCGCCGCATTTGGCTACGGCCAGAAGCAGGGTGCCGTCGGAATGGCGATGGGCATGGGGCCGTCGGTGCTCATCGTCAACGGCCTCGAGGCCGAGCGCGTGACGCCCGACGTCCTCTTCACCCTCTTCGGCGTCTACGGCGATGTCCTCCGAGTCAAGATTTTGTACAACAAGACCGACACGGCCCTCGTCCAGTTCGCCACGCCTCAGCAGGCCGAGACTGCGCTGGCCAATCTCAACCAGGCCCCCCTCTTCGGCCGCACGCTCACGATCAACTTCTCCAAGCACAACACGATCGCGATGCCGCGCGAGGGCACCGAGGGCGCCCACCTCACGAAAGACTACACCGGCTCGCCCCTCCATCGCTTCAAGGTCGCCGGCAGCAAGAACTTCCAGCACATCTTCCCTCCCGGCTCCGTTCTCCACGTCTCCAACATCCCCGCCTCCGCCTCCGAAGAGGACATCAAGAATCTTTTTGCTCAATACGGTCGCGTCCTCTCTTTCAGATTCTTCGCGTACGCTTCCCTCCTTCTCATCTTTGATTTTTTTCCCCCACACGATTTGATTTATGATTTTATTAATGATTTTCCATTCTCACCTCCTTTTCATCTTTTGACCAAGCAGTAAGGACAGGCGTATGGGTCACGTCGAGATGGCCTCCACGACGGAGGGTATCGAGGCACTGCTCTACACGCACAACGCCCAGCTCCACGACCACCACCTGCGCGTGACCTTCTCCAAGGGCTCGCAGCACGCCCCAGCTCCCGGCGCCGGCGCCTCCTCTATGGGATTCGCCCAGGGCTTCGCTGGCTACCAGTAAGCGCGAGCAGCAAGTGTGAATATTCAACCTACCCACCCTGTAACTTCGTTCTTCTTCGCTCGATCAGCGTCCTCCTCACCACTGCTACTGCTACTGCTACCCCCACTCGCTCTGGTCCGCTCTCACATCACATTTCCGATTTCCCGATCTCGGTCTCAACACCACCACTTCATCAACAACACGACAACGACACCACCTCCCCTCTAGCTCTCGTCTGACCCTTCTCGAGCTATCCACCCCTCACCCCAACCCCAACGTTATACACGACTCCTCTCTCGTTCTCTCTCTCTTTCCATCTCCATCTCCTCTTCCGTTCTCCCTTCACCAGTGACTCTCACGGTTATTCTGTTCCTGTTCCCTTCTTCCCATTCATCACCACCTCTCCTCTCCTTCTACAATAAAGTAACCCCCTACGTACAACGACTTCTACCCTCTTCTGTTCGTCTCTTCAGGAAGCCAGGTGGACGTGGGCTAGTGGGTGCGGGGAAGAAGAGCCACCTTGCACATGAAGGTTGTGGCTGGAAAAAGTGGTAGAGAGAAAATTATTTTCTCTTGATTTTCCGCTGATCAATTAATTAAGATTTTAATATAAACAACATGACGTGGGAGGTGGTGCGGCAGGCTGGCGCGGTGGTTGATGGCGAACGCTTCATCCTCCAGCACACGGCACGCAGGAAGGGCCAAGGTATCTGTCTTCCCACCTTTACTGGAGTGAATTGATTCATCAACCCTACAGGGAAGAAGAATAATCAATCTTTTTTGGTGGTTGTCGACGCAACCAAAGAGCAAAGCGTTGGCGTGGTGGTGAGCGATCAGGCGCTCTACGAGGTGGCCGACGATTCAGCTGGTGCGCCACCAGAGGTGCGACGATGGGACTTCAGGGAGATCCATTCCGTCCACAAGCTGGAGAAGAACCTCGTCCGCGTCTTCCTGATCAGCGTGTCCGCCCACGGCAAAGTCTCCAAAGAAAAGGTGTCAGTACCAAGAAGCCGTGTGTCGTGTGTGTCGTGTCGTGTCGTGTCGTGTCGTGTCGTGTCGTGTCGTGTCGTGTCGTGTCGTGTCGTGTCGTGTCGTGTGTCATGTCGTGTGTCGTGTGTATCGTATCGTGCTCACACGGTGCCGATTGCAGGTGAAGGGCTGGGGCGCGGGCGAGACGGCGTCGAACTTCCTGATCCCGAGGGACTTCATCTGCGCCACCACCGACGAGAAGGACGAACTCTTCTCCGTGATGCGCACCAATCTCGTCGACACATGGCAAGCCCACCTCGAATGTATGTATATACTTCCACGCATTGCATATATATATATATTTAGAAATTCCATCACATCGTCGCACTATTGTATGACGCACCACCACTACACTCTCATCCTCATCTCTCACCGCCATTCTGTGTGCTTGCACCGCCGCCCGGGCCTTTCCCTCTCTACTCGCCAGGCGAGATCGAGAGCATCCCGCCGACCGAGTACTACCAGAACCACCTGTTCCTGACCAAGCGCAACCGAAAGGGCAAGCTCCAGATCCGCTTCGTCGTGCTGACCGACAAGAAGATGTACAACTTCGAGGCACGCATGGTTGGCCGAAGAATCGAACCCCAGAAGTGCAAGGTCTCCTTCCCCCCTCCCCTGTTGCCTCGCCTGTCGTGTGTCGTGTGTGTCGTGTCGTGTCGTGTCGTGTGTGTCTTCGTGTCGTGTCGTGTCGTGTCGTGTCGTGTCGTGTCGTGTGTGTCTCTGTGTGTGCGCGTGTGCGTGTGTCGTGTGTTGTGGACTCACAAAGTGTGGGGTTGTGTAGTGGGCGTTCCCGATATCAGATCTGCAGCGGGTGACCACCTACGCGGACGACCCGCAGGCCTTCTCCATCACCGTCGACACCAAGTCCGCCGAGCGCAAGCAGGTCAAGAGCTCCGTCACCTACCTGGTCGACAACAAGCACGAGCGGACCCTCTTGTACCCCCCCCCAACCCCCAAGCCCATGGGTGTTCATCACTCGGTCGACAAGAGCAATGTGGGCTTACATTGGGGGGGGTGCAGCATCCGCGAGGTGAAGCGGCTGTACTTCCAGGCGGAGGGAACGGAGCTCGAGCAGGAGGAGACCACCAGCAAACCGCCCAAAAAGCACGTCTGCTACCCCCGAATGAATTGCTTGATTGGATCTCGGTTGGTTCGTCTTCTTCTTCTGACGCAGTACTCAACACAGGGACAGGAAGTAGAGAGGAATCTGAGGCTTGTGGTGGTGGCGGACCCAATGAGTGTGCTTGAACTGCATTGCGGTCGCTGATTAGGGCGGAGTCGGACAATTGTTTTTAACCGCTCGCCCAATCACTGTGCGCACAACATGTGCCTTTCCTTTTGCCCACCACCACAGTCGACAACAGGGGTGCGAGAGTGCGGGCAACTGTCAAGTTTTCAGCCCGCCGCTTCTTCTAAGCCCCGCAGACAAGCGCCCACCTATATATCTGGCAAAACATGCCCATTCTCCATCAACAACCACACCGAAACAAACCACCGCCAACCCGCCAACCCACAAATCCGCAATCGCTTGACCCCATGTTGCTGCTCCACCGCGTATCGCTGTGCCTGATGGCCCTCACACTGCTCTGCCTCATGGCGATCTCTTTGGTCGACGGCCATCGTGCCCGTACGTGCGCCCCACGACCACCGATGGAGAGGTTGTTCAGGACTTGTGGTTTGGTTTGGAGAGCTAACGTCCGGTGTTGCGCGTGCAGATCGGGCGTGGCCCGCTACATTCCCAGCTGCAAGCGGGCCACCAGCGCCTGCCTCCTCCAGCCCGAGGAGACTGAGGGTCCCTACTATTGGGACTCATCTGTGCGCTCCAACATCACGTACGTCCGCAGCATTCTCTGGTTCTTCCACTCCTGCGCACCTGACCGTGTTGTGTTGTGTCGTGTCGTGTTGTGTCGTGTGTGTAGCGAAGGGAAGGAAGGCGTGCCGCTGACACTGAAGCTGACGGTGGTGAACGTCGATGACTGCGAACCGATCTACAACGCGTCGATCTCGCTGTGGCACTGCGACGCGCTCGGTATGTACAGTCACTACACGGCCGCCGGCGCCGGTGGCCTCTCCGACTCGTCGCCGGCCAAGGACAACACCACCTTCCTCCGCGGCATCCAGTTCACCGACGCCGACGGCCTCGCCACGTTTCTCACCATCTTTCCAGGCCACTACGTGAGCCGCGACACCCACATCCACCTCAAGGTCCACATCAATGGCACCACGGTCCACACGGGCCAGCTGTTCTTCAACGAGTCGCTCAACGACGCCGTCAACGCGCTGTCGCCCTACAACACCAACCCGGACACGCGCACGCAGCTGGACGAGGACTCGATCTACACCGGCACTGAGAACGCGTCGTACGGCCTGCTGTCCGACGTCCAGTTCGTGGACGAGGCAGGGTCGTACTCGGGCGGCCTGGTGGCAGCGCTCGCGCTCGGCGTCAGCACTTCATCTTCGGCTTCGCCGTCGCCCAGCCCTACCGGTACCGGTCAGGGCAACAGCGAAACCAGCTGTGGCTCGCGGCTGGCCGTGTCATTGCCGCTCGTCACATCCGTCATCTTGTAAAGAATGTCATAGACCTTGAACCCTGTCCAGCAGTTCATTTTAGATTCTGTTTATAAAATAAAAGGCGAAAGTAAAATAAAAAATAAATTATTTCATTTTGTTTTCATTTTTTCCATTTCCCAACCGAGCACCCTTCCACACAGGCCTGTTCACCTGCTCTCGGCAGTTGAGGGCAGCGGAGGACAGGCAGCACAGATGCGGCCGCTCGTGCTTCTGCTGGTGGTATTCGGCACATTCACGCTGCTCCTCATTGGCCTCCGCAGCGACCCCCAAACACCCCCCAAAAAAGGAACAGCCGCTGCAGTTGACCACCCCACACCCTCCCCGCGCGTTTCCCCCGGCGTCCATCGGGTGGTGCAGGCCTCGTCCACCTACCCGCTGGTCGGCCCCCCTACATGCCAGTTGGGGTCGGACCTGCGCCAGGTGCTGGTCCTACGCATCTGCGGCCTGCTCAGTCCGGTACCCGCCCACTCCCTCTTGCTTTGTTCTTTCTCTGACCGTGTGGTGCGGTGTGTGTCGTGTGTCGTGTGTCGTGTGTGTCGTGTGTCGTGTGTCGTGTGGTGTGTGGAGGGCAGGAGTTGCGCCAAACGTACGCCACGTATGCCAGCGAACTGGAGGGCAAGCCCGAGTTCGACATGTGGCTCCTCTACGACTACGGCGAGGAGGTGGATCCGATTTTTTTGTCTGAGTTCCGCGAGCTGCAGCAGGAGCACCCAGGGCTGGGGCTGTTCCTCTACAACACCGCCGCCGTCAAGGCGATGCTGCCAACTGCCGAGTACATCCTGAACGACCCCACACCCAATTTCTGGTTTCATGATGCCTCGCTGTTCATGTGGTCCCTGCACTGCCGCCCGGATGCCTGGAAGTCCTCCCCCTTCTCTCCTGACAGGTTGACCATCAACCTTTTTCAATATGTTTTGAGTTTGTTTGTTGTGTTGGGTTTGTCTACTTTATTGGCAAACATATATGTGTGCACAGCTGGCGACGGGACGAGTTCCACATCTGGACGGTGGAGCAAGACTCGATCTACTTCGGCGACGTCTCTAAGTTCATGGAAGCGCACCGGGATAGCACTGCAGGTAACGACCACTCGCGTGCACTTGTCAGCCGAGCAGCGGCACCCAACGAATCTCCATTCACCCGAATCCCGTGTACTGCGGTCGCTTCCAGACTACATCGCCCACATGGATCCGGTGCCGGTGCCATGGTACCACGAGAACCAGACCTCGTGGTACCCGCCGAAGAGCAAGACCCTGTTCAAGAAGCAACACATCGAGCGACACTCGTCCACCCTGCTCCGCTACGAGTACAGCCTGGCGCTACTGAACGTGATCTCCTACGGCGAGATCTACTCTTCGACCGTGTGCAACCTGCAGCCCGATTGGTGTGTGCGGCAGCAGCTCGATCGGCGGTTCATCGGTCCGTTCTACGCGTGGCACCACATGCTGACCGACGAGACCGTGGATACCATGTGGAAGGACCCGGCCCAGCACGACAGGTGGAACCACGCCGTCGTCTCGCGCAAGAGCCGGGGCTGTCGCAACTCGGTGGCTGATGTAGCCCGGCACCTCATCGAGGCCGAGGCGTGGAAGCGAAACGCGGAGGAACCACACGCAGCCAAAGCCGAAGCCGAAGCTGCCAAGCTCAAGGCCGATGCCGACGAGGCAGCCGTCACCAAGGTGAAGGTCGAAGCCGAAGCCGAAGCCGAAGCCGAAGCTGCCAAGCTCAAGCCCGAAGAGGAAGCGGAACCGGAAGCCGATGCTATGCAGTCGCCAAGGCCACGGCGGTCAAGCCGACGACGCCCGTAGCCGTCACGCCCAAGCCGATTAAGTTCGAATTGTAAGGGCCGCCAAGATCAGAGCTGCAGCGGAAGCGAAGGCTGCCCTTGCCGAGGTAGGCTGGAGTTGACAGCCGAACTCGAGAAGCCCCAACCAACTTTTTTTCTTTACGTCGTTCACTTGCGCAGGTGCACGGTCATTTGCACGCCGTACCGCGCCTTCAATGTCGTGGCCTGTCCGGAAACAGAGGAAGGGTGTGAGTCAACTCATTGCCTTCATAGGAATAGGAATGTGTATAAGATATATATAATAAACAAATGTATGAAAATTGGAGGCACCATTTCCATCTCGACTGGGTGGACTGGCTACCAAGCGAAGTTCGTACTTCTGGAGGATCATGCTGGTTACTGCACATGGCGATGTGGCGTGAGTGCGGGGGTGGAGCTGAAGAGTCTAAAAGCCAGTGGGTAGCGCGCGGAGCGCACCTGTCTTGATTTCCTTGCGTGCCAGGTCTTCGCCGATGCAAGCGCGCGGGCCGAGGCCGAACGAAAAGAAGGCGTTCTTGCTGCCGTCGGTCCACTCCTTCCGCTCGGGGTCAAACACCTCTTCCCAACCCCCCCCCCGACCAACACCACCAAACACTGGTCAGTTTCGCAGTCTGGCGCAGCAGCGCACGGGGCGAAAGAGAGGTGGTCTTGCTGGGTAAGCCGGGTGCTTACCGGGGTCGGACCACCCGTTGGCTGGAGACATGCCGGCGCTGTAGAGGCTCAGGCCCACCTTGGTGCCCTTGGCGAGGGTGAACTGACGGCCCCGGCCGTCGTCGACCGTGACGTCCTCCGTCACTTCGCGGCCCAGAGACGGGGTGGCCGGCCGCATGCGCAGCGTCTCGGTGATTGCCTGCACCCGCACGCCCCACCACATAAGTCGTGGTGGTCAGCCCGCATAGTCGCCATTCCAGGCCCCGCAAGCCACACACACCTTGTCGATGTGAGCGAGGGCGCGCAGGTGGTGGTAGGTGGGAGTCTCGGAGCCCAGCACCGCGTCCACCTCGTCCCGCACCCGCTGCTGTGCCGCTGGCGTCCGCGCCAGAAAGTAGAACAGCCACGTCAGCGTCACCGCAGTCGTGTCATGCCCTTTGGAAATTGTGTGTGGTGGTGCGTGTCGTGGTTAGCCGCCAAATCGGTAGACAGAGGGTCGAAGGTGTCCTGCCACGCACCTGCGAGAAGGAAGGTGATGGTCTGCATCATGATTTCGTGGCCGTCTACCCACTCCTTGCCCTCTTTGCCGCATTCGCGGAGCATGAACGCCAGTATGTCGTGGTCGTCATCCCGCACTCCCTGCGCGCGGCGCTTCTCGATCACCCCCCGTATCGTGCTGCGCAGGAAGTCGATGTGCTTCTCGTACTCGAGCACGCCTTCACCACCACCGCCACCACCGCCGCCGCCGCCGCCACCGTGAGTTCGTTGCTGTCGTGGCCGATGAAAGAGCGGAGCGGTGGCGTACCATTGGTCTTGTAGAAGCGCCAGTAGGGGAAGGGGATGATGAAGCGCCAGATGAGGTGCTGCATGCAGTAGTTGAATGCGTGGATGTAGGGACTAGTCTCGTCCGTCTGCGTCTTGAAGTCGAACTTCATCGAAAGGTCCCCTTGAAGACAATAAACCACAGGGTGAGCGCTGGGCCACACACCACACACACCACACACACCACACACCACACACACCACACACCACACACCACACACAGTCGCAAGAGCAGGTCGGTAGGCACCGATGATGTCGAAGGTGAGCTTCTGAAACTCGTGCTGGATGTCGAGTGGCTCGCCCGACTTGGCATGGCTCTCGAGAGTGTCCAGCAAGTGTCGTGCGCGTTCAACCACGTGCGCTGAGGGTCGGTCGGGGCCGGGTGTGAGCATACTACACACGCACGGCACGCACGGCACGCACGGCTCACAACACGACACACGCCACGCGTCCAAGGGTTTACCAATGAGGTTGTTGATGTTGGAGGCTCTGAATGCCGGCCGAACGAGGTCGCGGCTTCGCTTGTGCCCGTCTCCGTTTGGCTGCAGCGCGAGTCCTAGGCGCAACGCAAACGAAACGTCAGCCAGCCGTGTGCACCGTGTGAAAGTGCGGCTACGCGAGGCGACGAGTGTGTACCGCCAGCGATGTCGTGCCAGAGGCGCGTGATGGTCGACTCGCGATCAAAGGCCGTGAACTTGTCCTGGAACGCAACGCGGATGTTCTCCACGCTCGACAGCAACACCCTGCGGTCGATCAATGCAAGTCAGTCACCAGTGCAGTGGAGCAGTGACCCCAGGCTGGGTTCGGGTGCTTACCAGGGCTCGGGTCCGAGCCAGTAGCACATGACGGAGCCGTAGCGCGTCGCAAAGTCGAACTGGGAGAGATGGAGCGCGTGCGGGATGATGCTGAACGCATTGCCGACCACCGGCCAGGGCCAAGGACCCGGCATCCCGCTCCGCTTTACCGACACCACACGCCACACCTGGTCGCACGACATTGGTATTTTACATTTGTTTTTCCCCCTATTTATTAAAATGTAGGGAATTAAATAATAAATGGGGGGGGGGCGAGGACAAACCCAGCGCAGGGCAAGTAGGGCGACGGCAGTCAAGAAGAGTGGCAGCAGCATGCTGGCGCGGTGGTCGGTGTCAGAATACTAGGAAACACCAAAGCCGAAGCAGAAGCGGAGAAATGTTCGGTATTTTGCGGATGACGAGTGAACGAGTAATCCGCCTGGTGGTGGATGATCAAACGTGATGTGGTGAATGTACATTCACTCGCATTTGCTCGTGGCCACGATATGATCATAGGAAAGGAGTGTATTTGTTTCGAAGCATATGCTTCAAGGCAGAGAACAACTCTTTTTCTTAGAAGTGGGTGGTGCCGGGCGTGGTGCCCAGGCCAGCGGCGGTGGGCTCGATGCCCTGCTTGAGCAGGCGGCCCTCCTCCTTCTTCATCGGGTTGTGCGTGAGGGTGCCCTGCACCTCCTTCACGGTGCCCTTGATCTTCTGGCCGATCGTCGCGTGGTGCGCGCCGGCACCGGTGCCGTGCAGGACACCAGTGGTGGTAGTGGCCATGTGGGGCTGCTCGACCACCGCGGGCAACATCACGTTGCGCTCCTATAGAGTCACACCAAAGTGAGCTAGACTGGGAGAGTGGCCAGGCGACATGGAGAGAAGAGTGCGTACAGTGACGAGGTCCTTGCGCTCGGTGGTGACTTCGGTGCGGATGATGGGCTGGATCTGGTGTTCCCTCTCGTGGATGACCGGCTGGATGTGGTGCTCGCGCCTCACCTCGACAGGCCTCTCGACGATGACCTCACGCTCGACGATGGGCTGGTGCTCCACCACGTTGGTCGCGCCCTGAACGACGGGGTGTGCGGCGCCGACGATGGGCAAGCCGGTGCCGGTGAGACCGTGGCCGTGCTGGTGGTGACCATGCTGGTGGTCGTGCTTGAGGGCCTTGTTCTGGTGCTTGAGGGCCTTGCGCTCCTCCTTGGAGAGGGGCCTGCCGTCGACGCCGTGGGGCAGAACAGTGGTGGCCGTGGCAACCGGCACAACAGGCACAACGGGCACGGCGCCCACGACGGGCGTGGCGCCGGTGGTCACGGGGGTGGCGGCGGTGTTGGACATGATGGGTACAGTGTTGAGGTTCGACATGGTGGATTGTGGTGGGATAGTGTTGGTAAAGGTGTGGGGTGCTGTGGTGGTTGTTGGTTAGATGAAGAACTGGAACGGGCTGGAAAGAGGCTTTATAAAGGTGGGAGGACCCCTGTGTGAGGTCACGTTAACACTTGTTGCATCCAACGAAAGCGAGGTCGACCTGCCCAATGGTCCGCCAAGGAGAATTGAGGGATAAAAAAGTTGGAATTCCGATTGAAAGAAGGAAGGTCGTAGATCCGGAGTTATCTGGAATCCCAGAACTACCAGGAACTGGGAAGGCAAACGAGAATGGAGTTCCACTTCGCGGCGAACTGATCGAATCAAGCCCACTTACCTACTCGGCACCTCGCCGAGCAGTTGTTCGAAAGGAAAGGTCTGGCTATCTGCTTGCTCAATAGCTCAGTGTTACGTCGGTCTGTTGGGCTGCTCGCGGCCTTCAAGAGAAAGGCCACGTGCGACATGGGGGTTTTCCTGAACATCAGTCGAACGAGGCGTCCCGCCAGTCCCTCACCGATGCCGATGGAACGATATCATCAATTTGTATCATCATTTGTCTGCGCCGATCATCCCCCCACAGGCCAATCCAGTTCCTTGTCAACGCGCAAGCAAGTTCTCGGCAAGACCAACTGATTCGTGAAAGCTATCTCCTTTTGAGTTTGATACCCCACAGTTTAGAAGCGGGTGGTGGTGCCGGTGTTGCCCAGCATGCCGGGCGTGGTGCCCATGCCAGCGGTGGTGGGCTCGATGCCCTGCTTGAGCAGGCGGCCCTCCTCCTTCTTCATCGGGTTGTGCGTCAGCGAGCCCTGCACCTCCTTCACGGTGCCCTTGATCTTCTGGCCGATCGTCGCGTGGTGCGCGCCAGTCATGCCCGTGGTGCCGGCGCCGGGCATGATGCCCCTCTGGTCGGTGGTGGTCTGGTGGAGCAGGCCCGTGGTGGCCACGCGCGGCTGCTCCACCACTGCCGGCATCATCACGTTACGGTCCTGTTTGTGTTTGGTTGCTGCTTAGTAACTGAGCGGGACAAGCCAACAGAGCGAGAAGGTGTGCGTACAGTGACGAGGTCCTTGCGCTCGGTGGTGACTTCGGTGCGGACGACGGGCTGGATCTGGTGTTCCCTCTCGTGGATGACCGGCTGGATGTGGTGCTCGCGCCTCACCTCGACGGGCCTCTCGACGATGACCTCGCGCTCGACGATGGGCTGGTGCTCCACCACGTTGGTCGCGCCGCGCATCACCGTTCCGAGGCCGGTTCCCCTCGTTGCGCCGCCCGCAAGGGGCACGCCCGTGCCGGGAAGGCCGTGGCCATGCTGGTGGTCGTGCTTGAGAGCCTTGTTCTGGTGCTTGAGAGCCTTGCGCTCCTGCTTGGACAGATGCCTGTTGTCCGTCATTACGCCGGGATTGGGCAGCATCGTTGTGGCCGTTGCACCTGGCATGAGCGGCGCGCCGGTGTTCATCGCCATGGGTGTAGAGGTGGTCGTGAGGGTGGGATTGTTGATGGTCGAGGTGGGGGTGTTGATGAAGTTCGACATGGCTAGCAAGGTGCAGTTGGGAAGGGGTGGTGCGCTGTTCTGATATTGATGAGAATACAGAAGTGAGAAGGCGAAGGCTAAAGTAGTGCGCCACCAGGTGGTGGGTCCACTCCGTGGTGCGGACCACGCGCCTGGCGGCCCGCCGAAAGGAGGAGGTGGAAAGGCTGTAATTTCGGTGGAACCTGATCTCCCTCATTTCGTCCAGTATTCCTCTCGTCGTTTTGTTTCTGGCGGAACTCCGACAACCAGGAAGCATTGTCATTGGGCTATTTTACAGTTGGATTCTAGCAAGCAGGTCGATACCATGTGGTCTTCTTCGAGGAGGTGAGTGGTGACTATCTCACGTGCCACAAAAGAGACCGCGACAAGCTTGCTCCCTGGTCAGCGGGTCTGCTTCTTCATGAGATGATCTTAATGTAGCCTCCTCACAGCGCGTCATTTATGCCCCAAACGACAGTATATGGGTCCACACAACGCACTCACGACTTTCCCTGTCAGGTCGTAGATGGATCAAATCAATCGCGATTGGTGAACCTAAGTTCTGTAGGAAAGGAAGGCCAGAAATGAACTCGAGAAGGTGGAGATGGGCAGTTGTAGGGTGTGAGGGAACGTTTACTTGGCAAGGCATATATATGCCTGCTCCAACATATCCTCTTCAAAAGAGAGCATCACTGCAAGCAGCGGGTGCGCTACAGTTTAGAAGCGGGTGGTGGTGCCGGTGTTGCCCAGCATGCCGGGCGTGGTGCCCATGCCAGCGGCGGTGGGCTCGATGCCCTGCTTGAGCAGGCGGCCCTCCTCCTTCTTCATCGGGTTGTGCGTGAGGGTGCCCTGCACCTCCTTCACGGTGCCCTTGATCTTCTGTCCGATCGTCGCGTGGTGCGCGCCAGTCATGCCAGTGGTGCCGGCGCCAGGCAAGATGCCCCTCTGGTCGGTGGTGGTCTGGTGGAGCAGGCCGGTGGTAGCCATGCGCGGCTGCTCGACCACTGCCGGCATCATCACGTTACGGTCCTGTTTGCGTTTGATTGTTCATGTGGCTGGTGAGATGACTGTTCTGCCTTGTAAAGGTCTGATTAAAACAGGGAAGGTGTGCGTACAGTGACGACATCCCTGCGCTCGGTGGTGACTTCGGTGCGGATGATGGGCTGGATCTGGTGCTGCCTCTCGTGGATGACCGGCTGGATGTGGTGCTCGCGCCTCACCTCGACGGGCCTCTCGACGATGACCTCACGCTCGACGATGGGTTGGTGCTCCACCACGTTGGTCGCGCCGTGCATCACCGTTCCGAGACCGGTTCCCCTCGTTGCGCCGCCCGCAAGGGGCAGACCCGTGCCGGTAAGGCCGTGGCCGTGCTGGTGGTCATGCTTGAGGGCCTTGTTCTGGTGCTTGAGGGCCTTGCGCTCCTGCTTGGACAGGTGCCTGTTGCTGCCCATGAGGCCGGTGCCGGTGGCCGGCAGCATGGTCGTGGCCGTGGTGCCGCCCAAGGGCGCGGCACCGAGGGGCGAGGCGCCGAGAGGGGCGGCACCGAGAGGGGCAGCGCCGATGGGGGCAGCGGCGGTGTTGGAGAGGATGGGAGTGGTGTTGGTGGTGGGGTTGATGAAGTTCGACATCGCGAGAGAGTGGGGTTGAGTTGGTCGCTGGGGTAAAGGGTTGCTGAAGTTGTAGTTGTGGTTATTTGATGAAGATTGCTGGTCTCGGTCAGCCCTTTATGTAGGGCGAGGTCTACGCATCCGACGAAAGGGGGACCAAGTTCCTGAATGAAAGCGAAAGAGACACGAGGGATAAAAAGGTCGGAATTCCGGCCGTTCTGCGATCTCAGCCGATCCTATTCGCAAAAGACCAGGAGTCCATGTTCAGGAGAGACACACCTGACACTGTTCCCACATCTGGACCAGGCCTGGCCCAACGGCACTGTGCCATACCATCCCGCCCCTCTATTGTGCGAGATGATTGGACCAAAAATAAAAAAGCCTTTTTCTGTTTGGATGGTGACCTTCGAAGACGCTTACTGGGGCGTGGGCGGGGTGAAGGGGTTGAGGAGCATCTCGGAGAAGTTGGTGAGGGCGGGGATGCCGCGGATCTCCTCCTTCTGGAGCGGCACCTTGACGAGGTGGAAGTCCTCGTACAGGTCGTACATCTGGTCGATGTACTTCTTCTGCATTCGCGATCGCGCAGTGCACAGCCCGCAGTCGCCTACAACCACGAAGTATCGTTAGCGACACGCAGCCGCATTGCGAGAGAGAGAGAGAGAAGGGGTAGGCTCGTACGGTTCTCGGGGAAGAGCACTTGGTTGATGACGATGTTCTGCGTATCGATCTCGAATTTGTTCAGTTCCTGCACCAGACGCTCGGTCTCATACAGCGAGAGGAACTGCAGCAAGGCGATGGCGATGGCGCGGTAAGTCAAGCTTCCTGTATAAGTCGCACATAGGGAGAATGGACATACCTCGGGAATGCAGACGCACACGAAGGTGGTCATGTCGGGGTCCTTGAACTGGGTGTTGACCTGTTCGACAATCTTCCGGGTGCTCTCCATCTTACCCGTGATCGCGTCCTCGCCCTCGGGGAGACCAAGCATCGAGGTCATCTGTGTTGTGTGTGTGTGAGAGAGAGAGTGAGGAGGAGAGAGCGAAGCAAAGGAAGAGACGTACGGAGGAGAAGAGCGGGCCGAAGCGGGACTTGAGCTGTACGAGCTTGCCGATGCCCTTCTCGAGCAGCGTGGGGAAGGACAACAGGCGGAGCGTGTGGCCGGTGGGCGCCGTATCGAACACGATTACGGAGAACTCCATCGTCTGCACCAACCTGGGGTGTTGAACGCATCGTAAATTACGCGTGTACGGGCACCCGGTGAGGAGAGAGTTGTGTGTGGTGTGTGTGTGTGTGTGTGACGCACTTCATGACTTCGGCGAAGCTCATGGCCTCGTCGATGCCGGGCAGCGAGCCGGTGAGCTCCTGGATGATGCCCGCGCCGCCCGGCATGCCACTGACGCCCAGCAGGCCCTCGACCTCTTCCGGCTCAACGCGAGGGTCTACTTCCTTGGGTTGGAGAAGAGTTCACGTGAAGTGAGAGACAGTGAGTCACGCGCACCCAGCGCGCTGCAGACAAAATAGGCAGCTATGTGGGACGGTACCATCGCGAAGAGGTTGTCGAATCCGTTTACTTTCTGCACCCGACGCAAGACATGAGAGACGTCGTTGAGGGATGGCGTGTGAGTGCACACGCTCTACTGCGTGTCCTACACACTTGCGAGTGCGTTCGCGGTTGGAGGAGCGTACCGTGGGTTCAGCAGTAAACTTCTGGCCGAAAGCGTCGGAAAGGTTGTGCGCCGGATCGGTGGAGATGATCAACACGTTCGGGCGCACTTTGGCCAACTGTACGTAAAAAAACAGATTAATTATAAATCAGTTGTAATTAGAATTAAGGAATGAGTGGGCCGAGATGGCAACCTGGATGGCAACGCTGCAGCTTGTGGTGGTCTTGCCGACGCCTCCCTTGCCGCCCACGAAAATCCATTTGAGAGACTCCTTCTCGATGAGATTCTTCAGGTTGGGCTCCAGGTCCAGGACATCCTCTTCTTGCTCCATTTCCACACGTTCCTTTTCCATCTGTGTTTGATTGCCGTTCGCTATCGTTGCTGGTGTTGCTCGCGTTGAATGATGGACGTGGCGCGTGGATCCGCTCAGCCAGCGTAAGGTGCCTTGTGACGTGGCAAAGAGAAAATGGTTGAAAAAAATGACGTGACATGGAAATTCATTTTCGCCCTCTGGTCCGAAAACAACTGGCGCTGGGGTGGGATCTGCAAGATTCTGCAACGTTCTGTCCTGCATAGTTCCACCCTTTATCGTCATCCGGTCAGTATCTTGCAAACATTTTTCTGTATTATTTAATTATTACGACTCTCTGGACACCAGTAAGACGTGTAGAAGAGTCAACTGAGGATGTCGAGGCAAGAAGAAGAGCTCGAGGCCAGGGGCGGCCTTACGGCTTCGGGCAGAGTGTTGGCGTCCGACTTCCAGCTGATCCCCAACGAAATCGCTCTCCTCATCTTCGCCTACCTCAACATGAAGGACCTCCTCCACATCAGCCAAACGTGTAAGCATTGGAACAACATCTCCGAGGACGACTCCCTGTGGAAACCTCTCTACAAGGCTCGCTGGAGCCCATCCTCCTTCAGCCCCGTCACGTCGAGGGCGAGGGCCTTTACCAACGACTCGGCCTCCTCGTCGTCGTCGTCGTCATCAGCTGCCGTCGCGGCCAGACGAGCGCGAAGCCAAAGGCTCAGGCGCAGGCAGGCCAACGGCGCAGCAAGTGACCACGAGCAGATCGCCGGGTGGCGGTCGTGGAAGAACAAGTACATCACACGCCGCAACTGGCTCGACGGCCGCGTGATGGGGCAGTCGAAGCTCGACATCCACGCCCGCAGCGAGGGCGAGTCGCTCGAGTGCGTGCGCTTCGACAACGAAAAGTACGCGGCTGGCTCGACCGACGGCGCGGTTTACGTGCGCGCGGTGGAAGATGGTCGGCCCCTGCAGACGCTGCGCGGACACACCCAGACGGTGACCTGCATGCAGATGCAGGACAACGTGCTGGTCACCGGCTCCAAGGACAACACGGTCAAGATCTGGCGCGGGCTGTCGGGCGCGCAGGAGTGCGAGCTCACGCTGGCCGGCCATCGAGGCGCGATCACGTGCCTTCAGTTCGCGGGCCACCACCTGATGACCCGCTCTTGGGATCTTACCGGGCGCGTGTGGGACATGAACACCGGCCAGATCGTCCACACCGTCACGTGAGTGAACTTCCTCCACCCTGTGCTCACTCCACTCCAACTCACGCTCCGCACCACCCACCCACCCACCACTGCACAGAGGCAACTCGGTGTGCCTTTCGTTGCAGGTCGAGAACAGCAAGCTGGTCTGCGGCTACGCTGATAACTACATCAGGTTGTGGGACCTCAGGACGGGCAAGTGTCATCGCCATCTCTACGGCCACTCGGTTCGTACTTGCGCGCTCATTCAGCCACCATGGCGATGTTGGTCTGTTTTGACTGACTCTGCAGGAGCTCCTTGGTCCCCCGTTTTGAATTGTAGAACATCGTCACCGCTGTGCGGTTCGATGACACTATGATTGCGTCGGGGTCCTACGACAGGACCCTCCGCTTGTGGGATATCCGGTCGCATCAGTCGCTCTGCACGTTGACGCAACACAAAGGTTCGCTACTCTCCTGCTCTCTATGGTGTTTCGAGGGGTGCTAATGGGCTTGCTCCTTTTGGCTGTGTCTGTGTACAGGACGGATCAACGCGTTGCAGCTGCAAGGTCAACGCATCGTGTCGGCCAGCACCGACCACACAGTGAAGGTGTGGAATGCCAAGACTAGACAGTACGCTCACCAGCTCCTCTTCGCGCGTGTGTGTTCTCGTTTCTTGCAATGCTGATGTGATCAATCCCCAATGCACACAAGGTTCCTTTTCGACCTGAAGGGACACACCAGCGCGGTGAACGATGTGCAATTCGACGAGAAGAAGGTTGTCTCCGCGGATGAAGATGGGTCCATCAGGTTGTGGAACTTTGCCGAGACCATGCCCTACTAGGGAGCACCAGCGCACTTCGTGTGTGCTGTCGCGATCCGGCCTCTGTATTTCACTTTGTTATTATTTCACGATTTATTCATTTGAATCAAACGCACAAGATGAAGCGAAGTCGTCTTATCTTCCCTGCCTGCGGTTTGCGACCGTCAAGGCTCGTTGCTTCCTCTGCCGGCACCCTACCCGTTCTTCGATCCATGCCGCCTGCAGCGCGGTGGCAAACAAGTTTGATTGATCTTGCTGGGAGCACTGGCAGCCCCTTCTCATCCACACAGCTACGCACGAAACGCGTTGAGGCCACGGTGCATCTTGCGCTCTGGCGCCAACCCGCCTCGCTCCCGCGAAGCCATCGCTGCTACTCGACCACATCTTCATCCGAATCTTCATCAACTGCATGGATTCTGGAGAACTACAAGGGAGACAGGAAGGACGGCAAGCCACACGGCCAGGGCTATGTGCGCCTGCCCGATGGCACGACCATCACCGGCGACTGGGTCGAGGGCGAGCTGGTCCGCGGCCGGCAGGTCAACATGCACGAGGGTGGCGGGATGCTCTACGAGGGCGAGTACAGAGACGGCCTCTTCCACGGCCATGGCCGAGGGTGCAACGCCGACCACATGTACGTGGGAGAGTGGGTCGACGGCGTGCCGCACGGGCGCGGCCGCTTCGTGTCCACCACAGAGCGACGCACCTACGAGGGCGACGTGTCCCAGGGCAAGCCGCACGGCCAAGGCCGCGAGACGGATGAGATTGCCAATACGGTCTATGAAGGTGTGCATGCCCGATCGATGTGGTGGCCGTGATGTGATGGTTTACTTACATCTGCAGATGTGTGGCTCACGACAACACGCAACAGGGCAATTCAAGCATGGGATGAAGCACGGAGTGGGTGTGATGCAGGGACCGCACCATCGATACGAAGGCGGGTGGGTGCACGATCGAGTCGAGGGCAAGGGCACGAAGCGATGGAAGACCTCGCACAAGCCCGACAGCAACGAGGAGCAGTACGAGGGCGAGTGGCGCGCCGGCCTCCAGCACGGCACCGGCACCTTGACCGTCTTCCACCGCGGCGGGCGTCGCAAGACCATCTTCGAGGGCGACTGGCGCGATGGTCTGATGCACGGACAAGGGCGCGAGCTCACGCCCAGGGGCGTCGTGCTGCGCTCGGGGACCTGGACGCGCGGCGTCTTCGTCGAAGGGCAACAGAACGAGCAGGCACCACCACCACCTGCAGCGACCATCGCGCCGTCTCTGTCAACAGAGACGCCCAAGAAGAAGGCGCCACAGCGGCGAGGCAGAAAGCCTGCAGCCCAAAAGTTGAGCCAATCGCCAACCAGCTTGTGAGCCTGGCTTGCGGTCAACACGTCCGACACATCGACATTTTCTACACATTCACAGTTTTCTCAGCCTCTGCGAAATTTCGTTTGGGCGTCACACCGAGACCGCCCTCTTAAAGTTCCTTCCCGGAATTTTGGTTTCTTTTCGTCTTGGCGCGATTGGAGCGATCGTGAGGAACATCGATTGATTGGAGGTCATCGGAGCCCGACCAGCGAACTCGATTCAAACCAAAAAGATGAGAGCCACAAAGACCGCCTCCCACGTGGCTGCTGCCAAGTCGATTGTGCATAATCAGGGCGCAAATCGCTCATTGGCTTCATCTCTCCGGAGCCTCAATGGCTCTTCCTCTTCCTCTATCATCTTCACCCACTCTTCCTGTTCGAATCACACTCACTGCGGTATCCGCAACCACTCCACCGTCTCATCATTCACCGCAGGTACTTCCATCTTCATCTCTCTGCGTTCTGTCGATTTACTTCTCACATGTGAGTGTAGGAAACAAAACCGCCGCTTCTTCCACGCCTCTCTCTTTCATCGTGAGCTGGAAGCAGGCCTCGTTGCGCCAGTTCCACGCGACATCATGTACTGCCTCCCCTTCTCTTTCATTTTACACAAAATGCTGCTTACATCTCCATCTTATTCTTCGCGTAGCGACGCGCAAGGAGGAAGATCTCTATGAGACGTTGGGCGTACCGCGTACGGCCTCTGCCGATGAGATCAAGAGGCAGTACTACAAGCTCGCCATGCAGTATCACCCCGACAGGAACAAGGGAGACAAGAAGGCCGAAGAGAAGCTGCAGAAGATTAACGCTGCCTACACCGTAAGGCCTGCCGACACAAGATCTCTTATTCTTTCTTCTTCTTCTTCTTCATGTGCGAACCATCACAACCGCTTTCTCACCTTCTTCGACGTGCAACAGGTGCTCAAGGACGAGGACAAGAGGCGGCAGTACGATCAGTTCGGATCGGCGGCGTTCGATGGGTCCGGCGGTGGCGGCTTCGAGGGCTTCGACCCCAACGACATCCCTGTGGACATGCGCGACATCTTTGAGGGCATCTTCTCGGGCTTCGGTGGCGGTGGCGGCAGGGTGCGCTTCTTCTTCTTCTTCTGTGCTGTTCTTGTCTGTGAGACTTCATCGTCAATACTCACCATCTGGTCGTCCCACCGACAACAGAGGGCTAAGACTAAGGGTGACGACGTGGAGGTCCCGCTGCGAATCAACTTCCACGAGGCTGTGAATGGCTGCGAGAAGGATATCTCCTACATGGGCAAGCTCCCGTGCCCCACTTGCCACGGTTCCGGTGCTGCGGCTGGCTCAAAGGCCAAGAAGTGCCCTCGTTGCAACGGTCAGGGCATTGTACGTCCTTCATGCCACCGCACACACGACACACAACAGACCGGATTGGCTAACTGTCCGTTTGTTTGCAGGAGCAAATCGCACACGGCTTCATCCCGATCGCCACGCAGTGCCGACAGTGCGGAGGCGAGGGCACCATCATCTCGGACCCGTGCGGCACGTGCAAGGGTCAGGGCATCATCTCGGGCAACCGAAAAATTCAAGTCAAGATCCCAGCGGGCGTGGACGACGGCGCCAACATTCGTCTCGTCGGCCAGGGCGACGCTGGCATGAAGGGAGGCAAGCCTGGCAACCTCTTCCTCCGCGTGCACGTACGTGGCTCTCTTCTCTTGGAGTTTTTCTTACGATTGAGCACTTCTATACTGAACTTTCGCGTGTATTTTTTTTCGTAGGTCTCGCCGGACAAGGTGTTCAAGCGCGACGGCGTCAACGTCCACACGGACATTCCCGTGACCCTGGCGCAGGCCGTTTTGGGCGGTACCGTCAAGGTCCCCACGCTGTCCGGCGCCGAGGTGGAGATCAAGGTGCCTCCGGGCACGCAGCCCGAGGAGAAGCGCGTGCTGAGGAACCAGGGCGTGTCCGCCGTGGGCCAGCCCGGCACCAAGGGCCACCACTACATCCACTTCAAGGTGGAGATCCCCACGTACGTCGTCCCTCAGAGTCATGACTGCTGTTTGATTTTTCTTTACTGCTTGATGTCTGGCACTGTCGTTCGCTCACACGTGTCTGCCCTTTCCACCACCTCAAAACAACAGCAAACTGACGCCGAAGCAGAAGGAGCTGATGGAGGAGTGGCAAAAGGAGGAGGAGCAGAGCGGCGGCATCGCCGACAAGCTGAAGGGCTACTTCAAGTCCTAAAATCGGGGATCGGCCGACCTCTTCCCCCCTCTTGTCAGTCGTCGTTCTTGTTCTTCCACTTATTTATACACACAGCGAGTTCTCGTCATTCTTCTTGTAGGCTTTCCTATTTGTTTTTACATACGATCACATTATAATTCTCTCCAACTTATCACCTCTACAAGATGTGTGTCTACGTATGGATGTATGTATGTTTATTTGTTGGCGTGGTGCTCTAGAGCTCACCACGGTGCCGCAGAACGTGTATCGATATCAGATTTGGGCCTGCGCGCCGGTGCCGAGTACCTGGCCGGTGCCCTTGCCCTTGTAGACTCTTGGGCCGCTCTCGAGCTTGGCCGCGTTGGGCAGCTGCGGGTTGGGGTGCTCCTTGGGCACCTTGAGCCCCTCGGGCTGGGCCGCCATGCCCTCGTGGTAGTGGGCCTGGCCCATGAGGTCGTTGTACTTCTTGGCGTTGAGGCCGTCATCGTGACCGTAGTGCTTAGACCTCCACTTCTCGGCCTCGTCCCGGTAGTACTTGGCCCGCTCGAGGTGCTGCTCGGGAGTCATGATGTCGGGGAACTGGATGTGCTCCGGCAGCGTCTCCTTGGGCACGGGCGCCACAGATTCGGTGTAGATGGCCTTGCCCGTGGGCGTTCGCTTGACCTCCACCTCATGCGCGTCGTCCTTGGTCGTGTGGTGCAGCTCCTGCTTGAGCTCGTTCACCTTGCCCCTGAGTCCAGTCTCCTGCTCGTGACCGTGGTGCGACATGTTGTTCGTGCAGATAAAAGAAGATGAAGAGAAGTGCTGTGGGTCGAGGTGGTGTTGAATTATGTTGGTTTGAATTTTGGTGTGAGCCCCAGGCCTTGGTTTTATAGGTGGGTGCCGGCTGCCACGCGCGCAGGGAAGAGGAGCAAAGGGGGGACGAAAGTGAACGAAATCCAGACAGGACCGTCATGGCCATCCGATGGACGGTGCAACTGCCACTGGCCTTCACGCAAGCTACCTCAACTCGCACCACTGATCCATGGTACGGCAAGCTGCCTTGGCGACTTGGTTGCAGTGTCTCAGCGAGTCTCTGCAAGGCCGACGCAGGGGAGCCGCTGGGGAGCGAGCTGTTCACAGCGCTTATCGGTGCGCAGCTCGACTTCTTTTCTGCTTCCTTCTCTTCACTCGCCTTGTGGCAGGAGACTTGTCCTCCCACCACCAGGAATTTCTCTATCTTCCACAACCTACCTAATTGGGTAAAACTGCCTAATATGGTACATTCCACCTTGCTTTCGAGACCCTTCGTAGGGGAGGTACTTAATGTAAGTTCACCAACTTACCACTGACTGTCTTTCCACCTACACTGCTCCCTGTTCTTCACAACACTGTGTTTGCCTCTTAGGACAGTGTTGTCGACATTGGTGCAGTCATGTGGAACCATCGCTGTGGCCAGGTCAAGCTTGGCATGCGCCTTTGGGCAAGAGCAACACGCCACAATCCTGCTCCCAGAAATCACCATGCCCTACTAAGAGATCTGGATACCACTCTGGTTCGTGGAGATCGCCATTCGGTGGAAATTTCAACTCTGGTATTCACTTTCTTCGTCGCGGAGTACAGTCCCCATGACCACCAACGCCATAAAAGGCGCTGGGCATTGGTACATGCATAGCAAACAACCAACACACCAACGCAAGCAAGCACTCCCCAAACAACCAACTCCCAAGTACCCACCAACTCTACCATGTCGAACTTCATCAACCCCACCACCAACACCACTCCCATCCGCTCCAACACTGCCGCTGCCCCCATCGGCGCTGCCCCTCTCGGTGCCGCATCCTTGGCTGCCACGCCCGGCGCTCCGCTCATGTCCGGCGCCACCACCACTCCCATCCTCTCCAACACCGGCGCTGCCCCCATCGGCGCTGCCCCCATCGGTGCCGCCCCTCTCGGCGCCTCGCCCCTCGGTGCCGCGCCCTTGGGAGGCACCACGGCCACGACCATGCTGCCGGCCACCGGCACCGGCCTCATGGGCACCAACAAGCACCTGTCCAAGCAGGAGCGCAAGGCCCTCAAGCACCAGAACAAGGCCCTCAAGCACGACCACCAGCATGGCCACGGCCTCACCGGCACGGGTCTGCCCCTTGCGGGCGGCGCAACGAGGGGAACCGGTCTCACCGGAACGGTGATGCACGGCGCGACCAACGTGGTGGAGCACCAGCCCATCGTCGAGCGCGAGGTCATCGTCGAGAGGCCCGTCGAGGTGAGGCGCGAGCACCACATCCAGCCGGTCATCCACGAGAGGGAACACCAGATCCAGCCCGTCGTCCGCACCGAAGTCACCACCGAGCGCAAGGACCTCGTCACCGTACGCACTCCCCCTTCATTCTCCTCTGGCTTGCGACTCTCCCCAATAACCAATGAACAATCAAACGCAAACAGGACCGTAACGTGATGGTGCCGGCAGTGGTCGAGCAGCCGCGCCTAGGGTCCACGGGCCTGACCACGGCCGACCAGAGGGGCATCATGCCCGGCGCCGGCACCACGGGCATGACTGGCGCGCACCACGCGACGATCGGCCAGAAGATCAAGGGCACCGTGAAGGAGGTGCAGGGCTCGCTCACGCACAACCCGATGAAGAAGGAGGAGGGCCGCCTGCTCAAGCAGGGCATCGACACCACCGGCACTGGCATGGGCACCACCCCTGGCATGATGGGCACCACTGGCACTACCACGCCCGGCATGCTGGGCAACACCACTCGCATCTAAACTGCACAGCCTGTTCGCTGTTATTGGATCAGGCATATATGTGCCTCTTTGCCAATGAATACCTTTTGCTTTACACTCGTCCATCTTTCCACTGGTGGCTGTCATTCTTCTGCAAAGCGGGCAGCTCGGGCCAGGGCTCGCTCCTGAGCCAGCGCTGGACGTCTTGCAAAGGCGCCGCGCCTGTCGCGCCTGGCGCGGCTGATGAGCAGCAGTTAGCAGTGGGCCACGCAGCGCCAGAGTCCGAGGTGGCAGATCCTGCGCCGCACATTAGTGGCACACCTGCACCAGTTAGACTCGGCAAACCTCTGTTGTTGATGATTATTGAGTTGGCGTGGGTGCCCACTCCAATCTGCCAATATTGCCACGATGTGGAGGAGCCTCTAGCATAGCCTTCCCTCGACCACGTGGTATCTCCACTAAATCGCAAGGCTTGCAGAAAGATGTGTGAGTTTGAGGGAATGTAATCATATCCTCTGAGGAAGTGAGCCACTAAATGTTTGTGGAGATCGCCATTCGGCCGAAATTTCAAGTCTGGTACCAGGACATCTTGGTCGGGTGACGAGGCCAGCGCCAATCACGGAGTCCAGCCCAAAGATAAATAGGAGTACCATGACTTTGGTTCATACTAGTAACTCACACCTACAACATACCACCAGCAAAACACCTCCCAAGTCCGACAATGTCGAACTTCATCAACCCCACCACCAACACCACACCCGTTCTCTACAACACCGCCGCTTCCCCGGTCGGCACTGCGCCCTTGGCCGCCAGGCCGGGAGCTCCCCTCATGTCCGGCGCTCCCGTGCTCTCCAACCCTGCCACGCCTTTGGCTGGCGCTCCGCTCATGCATGCCGCCATGCTGCCTGGAACTGGTGACAGACACTTGTCCAGGAAGGAGCGCAAGGCCCTCAAGCGCCAGAACAAGGCCCTCAAGCATGGCCACGGCCTCACCAGCTCCGGCCTGATGCGTGGCGGAGCGACGAACGTGGTGGAAAACCAGCCCATCGTCGAGCGCGAGGTCATCGTCGAGAGGGTGGTCGAAGTGAGGCGCGAGCACCACGTACAGCCGGTCATCCACGAGAGGCAGCACCAGATCCAGCCCGTCCTCCGCACTGAAGTCACCACCGAGCGTAGGGATCTCTTCAATGTATGTACTCCTCCTATCTCCTCTTCGCTTTTCGTTCTTCATTCTTCGCTTTCTTCTTTCTTCAGCTGCCACCTCACTCGCGACTGACCAACAAACAATCAAACACAAACAGGACCGCAACGTGATGATGCCGGAGATGGTTGAACAGCCGCGCCTCGCGTCCACAGGCCTGACCATGGCCGACCAGAGAGGCGTCATGCCCGGCGCCACCAACACCACCGCAATGCACCACGCGACGATCGGCCAGAAGATCAAGGGCACCGTGAAGGAGGTGCAGGGCTCGCTCACGCACAACCCGATGAAGAAGGAGGAGGGCCGCCTGCTCAAGCAGGGCATCGAGCCCACCACCGCCGCTGGCATGGGCACCACGCCCGGCATGATGGGCAACACCGGCACTGCCACTAGCTTCTAAACGGCATGTGCAGCAGCATGATCTAGTTCGCGTTGTGAATAGCTTCTCTAGTTGTTGGTCAGCAGGCGTATATAGGCCTGTTGCCAATGAAATGCTACACTCCCTTCTCGATTTCATTTTCTGGCCTCTTTTTTAGTTCCGCGAGAAAAGCCGTCCCGGAGCCTCAAGTCTGTATTTTTATTTAGTGTGAAGTGTCTCCTCACCACAACTCAAGAGAGGCTCGGGCATCGAGGGCCCGCGCATTTCGATCCTGCGGAGGCTTGTGGTGCGTGGTCTTGTCGAGCACCACACGGCCTCTGCTGTCCCCTTTCTCTTGCGTGCCGACGACCACCTCCTCGTACTGAGGCGGCTTCTCGTCAATCGCGCTCGAACGGCCGACGTCAAGCTTGCTCTTCCCCTTCCGCCTCCTCTCGTCGTCGGCGGTGGCGCTGCTCTCCTCGAGGTCCGAGCCCACATCGATCTCGAGCCGCTCGTTCTCCCGCTGTTCGCGCACTTCCTCGCTCTCGCGGGTGGCCTCACGGATGCGCTCGGTCAGGGCGCTCTCCATCATGCGGCCTTCCATCATGCCGGCGCGATCGTCCCGCGCCACCCACTTGGCCACGAGGTCGTAGCTGACGTGGTAGACTCGCGAGCAGAAGGCGTCGTCGAGCGTGCGCCCGCGGAAGAGCGTGGGCGAGCCGTCCGGCAGGAAGCACCCGCGGCTTACCTCCTGCGTCAGCGGTGATGCCGCCATGTACATATACGCATTCCTGCATAATGGTGCGTTAGCATGTGTGTGTGTGTGTGTGTGTGTGTGTGTGTTGTGTGTTGTGTGTGTGCGGTATGCCGACGTACTTGGCTTCGTCATCGCGAGTGTCGCCGTTGATGTGACACCAGGCGCGGCTCAGGATAGACTGGTCGGAGGTGTAGACGTGGCCCAGGTCCAGCACGTTGACCGCCACGCCGGAGCCCTTGAGGCGCAGGCCCAGCTCGCGCGTCATACAGTAGATGGCCAGATGCGACTGCTCCGTTGCGCGGGTGTCGCTCCACCTCTTCTCCATCCCCAGGTCGTCAAAGTTGATGTGGGCGTGCTTGGCTGGACCAGGCAATGACACCAAGCATGGGGAGGTCAGATCCAACCATCGACAGTGTGTGTGTGTTGTGTGTCGTGTGCGTATTGTGTGTGTGTCGTGTGTGTGTGTGTGTGTGTGTGTGGGCACGTCGGCCGGCAGGAGAAGCACGTACTTGGCCGCGGGCACACATTGATGACGCGCGACGGTGCGCTGAGCTTGAGCAAGTCCAGGAGCAAGTAGGTCACCATGAAGTGGCTCAGGTACTTGAGCGAAAAGAGTTTCTCGTTTCTGCGCGCGCAGGTCATGTAAACGGTCAGCAGCTGATCAATCGTTTTCTGTTCTGACAGGCATGAAGGGAGGGAGAGGCTAGTAAGACGGGGAGGCCCGTACCCGTCGTGTGTGAGTGCGTGGACCTCGCGGCCGTTCCTGGGGTCGATGTCGCAGTTGTTGATGAGCACGTCCACGCGCTCGAACTGCCTGCGGAAGCGCTCCACGGCCTCGTACACCGAGTCCAGGCTCGCAAAGTCTGCCCACAGCGGCATCACCTCCGTGTTGCCGGTCACTTTCTGCACATTGATGACCGTACGGGGGTGAGCTGGCTGGCGGCAGGGCAGCCAGGAATGTGGTGTGTGTGGGGCGGGGCGTACCTTGATTCTCTGGGCGAGGGCCGATGCTTCCTCGGCGTCGGGAGAGAGAATGGCCAAGGTCGCGCCTTGTCGGGCCATCTCCTCGGCCACCTCGGCCGCCACCCCCGAGTTGGCGCCGCTCATCAGCACCACCTTGTTCTCCAAATTGCCTGCACCACACCATAATTGGTCACAGGGAAAAGAGACACTAAATAATTATGACGTGGAGCGGAATGCGCACCCTTTAGGTGGAGGAAGCAAGTGTCGCACACGCGTTCGGCCTCCTCGTACCACCGCACTCGCGACTCCTTCGACGAACACTTGGCGCAGAAGACCTTGCCGCACGCACGGCAGTGATGCTGCAGACAACCAACACACGACACGCACGACACGACACGACACGCACAACACAAAACAGAGGTGTCAGCAGCGCACCAGCTTGAAGAGGAATTCCAAGAATGGATGCAGGTGGGTGGGGTACCCTGCGCTTGGTGAGGGTGAAGGGCTCCTGGCAGCTCTGGCAGGCCGACACAAGGTGGTCGGGCACCCACTTGACCGGTCCCATGCGCTGGGCCGACGTGCGCCGGAGCTCGTCGCGCCGGTTTTCGATGTCGAGGCTCTGACGGGTGACGAGCTGGTCGATCTCCCTCTCGCGCCGCAGCTTCTCGGTGGCCTCGCGCTCCCTCATCGCCTCCTTCATCTCGCGCTGCTTGCGCTTCTCCTCCTCCTCGGCGGCGCGCATGAGCTCCTCGACCCGCTCTCGGCTCTTCCGCTCCTCCTCGGCCTGCGCCTCGGCGCGCTGCCGCTCCAGCTCCTCCCAGTCGTGCGCCATCTTCAGGCGCAGGGCCTCGGCCTCTTCTTCCTCCTGCCGCAGGCGCTTCGCCTCTTCTTCCTGGAACGCGCGCTCCTTTTCCTCCTCCTCCGCCTCGCGCTTCAGCCGCTCGTAGGCCTCCTCTTCGCTTTCGCTTTCGCGCTTCGTTTCAACTTCTTCGCTCTCCCTTCGTTCTTTTTCAATTTCGCTTTCGCGTTCGCGTTCGCTTTCGCGCGTCGCTTCCGCCGGGGCGCCCAGGCGCTCGCCGGCCCGCTTCTCCGCCTGCGTGTCGAACTTGCCGGGTCGGGGGGCCTGCTCCTCCTCGAGGGTGGCCGCATCGTAGAGCATACCCTCTCCCTCGGACCGACGCAGGTCCTCCTCGTCTCGGCGGAGCGCTTCCCGCGCCCTGGCGGCGCTCTCGTCCATCTTCTGCGGCGCCGGCGCCTCAGCCTCGGCCAACTGCCGCTCGCCCATGGGCGTCAGCTCGTCTTCGAGAGTGGCCGCGTGGTAGAGCATCCCCTCGCCCTCGGACCGGCGCAGGTCCTCTTGATCCGCGTCCTCCAGTAGGTTCTTTTTTCTCCTTTCTTCCATCATTGCTTCTTGTTCGTTCTTCCTTCTCTTCCTTTGTCGTTTCGCTTCGCTCTACTTCCGCTTTCGTCTCGTCGCCGCTGAAGTCCTCGCTGCCTTCGTCGTCGCTGTCGGTGCGGTCGAGCATGCCCTCGCCCTCGGCCCGCAGCCGGTCGAGCCAGCCCTGCGCCTCCTCCCCGAGATACTGCTTCTTCTGCTGCGATGGCGAGAGGGTCAGATCGACCGCGACGGGGGCGCCCTTCACCGCGGCCTCCCCCAGGCCCGCGCTGGTGGTGTCGAGTTTGGCCAGCGACGCTCGTCGGCTCTTGCGGCGGTTGCCTCTGCGCTTGCTGCTGCGTGATTTGCCGTCCATGCTCTTGAGTTGGCGTGTGAGGTAAGCAACTGCACACAACCAACACACGAAGAGGAGAAGAAGGTCGAGAACGATGGTGGCTGCCGTACTTGTGGTTTGTGTCGCGTGTTTCCTTGTTTGCTGCTGCTGCTGTGTTGTGCGGTGCAGGTCGGGTGGTACTACTGGTAATCGTAGCGGGCACTTTCCTCCCAGCAGGGCTTGACCTGTTGTACGACACGAGGCCAAGCAGGAGAGATAGACCAGGACAGGAGGCGATGTGGATTCCACGGCCAACCCGCACTCTGCGCCGACCGTCAGGTGGCGGCCTTCCGTAGAAAAGCCGACAGCGCACCCACGAGGTCACGAACCGGTTTCGTGTCGAGCTCGCGCGTTCGAATCCCGCCGACGGCAATAATGAAGCCTTCAGGTTTCCGCGCGCTTTTCGCTTGAGGAGATGGATGGGTTCCCTCGACTTTGCATGCAAATGAGTCGGGCAGGTGGGGCGCGTGCGTCCTTGCGTTCGCGGTCCTGAGCCGAGCACGATACCCACGAAGCAACGCAGAGATTTAGAGCTCTAGACGACGTCAATTAACACAAATCAAGATCGATAATGGAGCACAAGAACGGTGCAGCAGCGCCGCTGGAGGAGAACAGGTCACCAACGAGTAGAGAGCTAGATGAACGGAATGCATTGCTCGCACAAGAATTAGATAGGGCGTACCTGCACAATGGCCGACGGTTAGATCAGGCAGTCTTCCACTCACGTGCAGAAGACGAAGATGTGGAAGCGATGCTCCACAAATGGCTGGCCAAGCAGGAAGAGGAAGAGCGCGCCGGCGGGCACTCGCGGTTGACCCTCCTGCTACGACGGCTCATGTTCTGGGTTGCCGTCCTGCTTCTGCCGAATCTCGTCACCCTTGCCCTCGCCTCTACACCGCTGGGTGACCCCGCCGACATCTTCTCACGCCACGTGCGTCCTCCCTTCTTGTGGATTGAATTGAATTTATGCAGTGCCGAGATTGCCTGTTCAATTGATGGAAGCTCGACATACTCATCTAACCCAGCTCTGGCGGCACAACAGGGGAGCTGGCCGACGCTGATGTTCGTCAATCCAATCATCATGACGGTGATCGGCTACCTGAGCGTCACTGCCTACTTTGGCTGCGTGGAGTCGCCGCATCCCTTCAAAGCCTTCCGTACGCTCGCCCGCCCTTCGCCCGGTGTCAGTGTTGGGAACACGCACACGCACACACGCACGCACGCGCACACAATGATGACTCACGCGAGCCCACAGTGCCGATGATCTTCGTGACGTACTTCATGGAGATACTCGTCCTGGTACCCCTCGTGTGGCTCTTCGGCTACTTCGAGTTCATCGGCCTCATCTCCTTCGGCATTGCCTACATCACCGCCTTCATCGGTACCTTATCCACCAGCAACACCACCAAAGAAGAGCTTCCATTCCAATTGATTCATGTGCTGCGTGTCGTGCCGTTGGTCGTGTCGTTGGTTGTGTCGTGTCGTGTCGGTTTAGCCGCGTACGTGCTTGAGAGGTTCGATCAGAGCAGAGCCGAAGAGTGGCAACGGCTCTTCTGGCAGTACATCAAGATCGCCGTGGCCAACTTTGTGCACCTGGCGGCCCTGTGCGTCTACGTCATCTTCTTCCGCGAGGTGCCTGCAAACATCCAGCCCGTCCTGTCCTTCGGCCTCTGTACCTCATTCCCCCCACCTGTCCACCATTCTCACTCGCACAAAGCTAATTCTCGCTCGTAATTATGCGCTCTCTTGGGACGGACACACACGACAGCCATCTTCACATTCATCAACCGAAAAACCATCCTCTCGTTCTCCGATCCGTTTCCGATCGAGCTGGGAATGCTCATCTCCGGCTTCTGGGTCAACAACATGACCGACATGGTTAGTTCCTCTTCCACGCCCTTCTTCGTCTTCTTCTTCTTCTTCTTTTGACAACAAATGTACGATTGGATTTAACGTCAACTGCTTCGTTTTACACGTGCAGTTCCAAACGTTGGCGTACCCGAACGTGAAGAATCCGATGACCTTCTTGTACATCTGGGCGCTCCAGTTCTGCGGCGATGTCGCCAACTTGATCTTCCTCACGCACCCGTACGCACTCGCTCGCACCTACAACACACGCGCATGCCACTTGCCCTCCGCTACAATTGGCAATTGTAGCGCATTACCAACGAGTTGTTTGTTGCGTGCTGCGTGCTGCCCTGGGAACGACACAGTTGGTTCGTGTTCCGTATCTGGATCAAGGGCATTCTCACCGGCAAGTGGGGAGCCAACAAGAATGTCGAGAACAACGATGACCTGCCCGACGATCGCGGCCACTCCAACAACCGCCCGGGTAACGGCCTCTGTCAGACACCACCTACACTTGCTCGGCCTGGAGCGTAGGGCGCTAACTGTTGTGCTCATGTGGCGTGGCGCACACACACAGGCTACCTGCGCAGGCAGGCGAGGTTCTACTTCTGGCGTATCGTCAGTAAGCTCGCGGCGATCGTGTTCTACCTCTTCATCAGTACCGTGCTTCGCTATGGCCCCAACTCCCAATACTACAACTTTTCCGAGGACCCTTATATTTCTCTCACCGACGAGTCTGGTACGTGCCTCTCTTTCTGGCGTGTGTGTGGTGTGTGTGGTGTGGTGTGTGCGTGTGCGTGTGTGGGGTGTGTGCGTGTGTGTGTGTGGTGTGTGCGTGTGTGACAGAGCGATTTTTGACTGTGTTGGCGTGCATAGGGCGGGAGTTGAGCAGGCTGTCCGACAAGGACTACCTCCACAGCGTTATCTACGTCTCGTGCAACGCTGTCTTTGTCACCCTTGCCGGCCTTGCCGGCTACTTCCTGGTACAACCCCGTATGATCGCTCACCAACAACTCAGCGTACCTCACACTTTTCCTGTGTCTTGGGGAACGTGCGCACAGTTGCGGTTCCGGTACACGGACGTGTACGTCCACCTGGCGCCCGTGGCCAAGGTTCTCCGCAAGAACAAGGCCTTCATCGGCTACGCTGTGGCCATAGTGGCGCACAACGGCCTGCTCGCCCTGGCCTTCATACAGTACCACCAGCGCATCTGGTGGTACGACTCCCTAGAGCCCTGATAAAGAATTTAGTTGCGGACATTTGCAGACATTCGCCGCTTGGCCCTCCTCGCCGCTCCCGGCCTCAGCCCACCACCATGTTGGCGACTCCCGGGAGGATCACGTCAGCGCCCGACGCCAGGAGAGTGTCAACTCCATCAGCACCGCTCAGCACACCTGTAGCCAGGCCAGAGTTCCTGGTGAGCCGTGCATGTTGTGTGCGTTGTGTGCAGTGTGCCTAGGGGGTGGGGGTGTTTACCGATGACGAGGCCGCAGCCGGCGTTCTTGCCCTCGAGCATATCGCGGGCGGTGTCGCCCACCTTGGCCACGCGGCGGGCGTCGAGGAGGGCGAAGCGGCGCATGAGGTGGTGGATCATGTAGGGGTAGGGTCGGCCGAAGCCCACGTCGTCGGCCACCACCAGCTCGTCGACCTCCGGCCACAGGTTGAGCTTCGTCAGCAGCCGTTCCGCCACCACCCGCGGATAGCCTGCACTTGCACACTCAGCAGCAGCAGCAACACACACACATAACACCACAAAGAGCACCTGTGTTGAGCCCGACTTTGATGCCGGCAGCGCGCAGCTTACGCAGGACGTCGAGCACGCCGGGGAACACGCGCACGTTGTCCTGGTCGTCGGCGAAGTAGGCTTGCTCGATGCCGGCCATGAACTGGTCAAACATGCGCTGGATCATGGCCTCCCGGGCTGCCGGGTCGGCCTGGGCGTGCTGCCGGTTGACAAAGTGGGCGATGACGTCACGCTTGTTGGTGCCATGCCACTTGTCGAACTCCTCCGACGTGACCGTGAGGTCATTCGACTTCATCGTGCCCTGCAGGATCTCATACACCAACGCACCTGATCGCGCACCAGTCAACGCGTGTCGTGTGGTGTTGCGTGTCGATCTATGGTGTACCTTCATCGATGACAGTTCCAGCGCAGTCGAAGACGACGAGCTCGATGCCGAGCGCGCGCAGGTCGGGACAGCGCGGGGCGTCATCCTCGCTTGCACCCGGCGAGGCGGGCAGGAGGGTGGCATGGCTGAGCTGTTCCGTCAGCTTGACAGCCTCGACGTGGTCCGCATCCGCCGGAAGCGCATTGCCCGCCGCTTCGTACATCTCCTTCACACGCAGCGCCAGGGGCGTCCACGCCCTTATCAATACCACGCGCCACACACACGACACGCACACACGCACACACGCACACACGCACACACGCACACACACACGAGACACACACGCTACACGTCAGTTGGCTGGAGGTTGAATTGGCATTGTGGTACGTGATGTTACCCGACGCCGGCGGCCATCTTGCACGCGGTACGGATGTCCTTCTGCAGGAGCGACAGGCGGAAGCCGTAGTCGAAGCCCCGGGTCAAGATATTGTCCGGGAAGCGCTGCATCGACGCCCAACTGCGACAAGCCGCCGCGGCCACAACCGTGGGCCAATGGGTGAGCGAGTGCGGACCACTCACCCGCCAAGGAGCCGGTCCGCGCACCTTCTGCCGGAGGACTTGTTGATGGCCGCGAGTGCGACCGCGGGGTCGACGCCCAGCTTGGACAGGGTGACCAGCATCTCGCCCGTGCTCCAGATGCCCGTGGCCGTCAGCTGGTTATTGGCTGCCTTGATCGCATGCCCTGCACCTATAGCACACGCGCGCATGACCACCTTTGTGAGTATGCACCGCACACGCACACACGACACGCAACACGGCATTGCACACGTGGGACCGTACCAACGCCGCCAGCGTGGACGATCTCGCGAGCGAAGGTGGAGATGACGGGCGTGACCAGAGCGACGTTGTCCTTGGTGCCACCCACCATCACCGTCAGCGTGCCAGCTGCGGCCCCGCGCGGCCCGCCAGAGAGTGCGGCGTCGACCAGCACCACTTGGCCGTGGCCCGGCTCGCGTTGGGCCAACCGGTTCGCCAGCGCGCGGGTCGCCTGCGGGTCGCCTGAGGTGCAGTCGATCCACACAGTAGTGGTGGAGGGGGCGAGGTGGGGCGCGAGCGCTGTGGCGACGGATGCCACGTCAGCAGAGGTGGGCAGGCAGGTCACGACCCACTGCGGCTGCGCTCGGCCCAACTCCTCGAGCGAGGCGACGGAGGTAACCTCCACCCCTGCCGCCGCCCCTTTGCTGGACCACTCTGCGGCGCGCTGGGTGCCCGCCTCGGTCACGCGGTCCCACAAGACCATGCGGCGCACCGTACCACGTGTCGCGCCCTCCACCAGCAGACGGTGGGCCAGCGGCCCGCCCATGGCACCCAGCCCTATGCACGCCACCACGCCAGGTTCCATCTTGTGTGTTTTGCCTTTAATTTTCTTCTTTTTTCTTTTCTTTTCTTTTGCTCTCGTCCGCCTTCGGGCCGCCCTGAGCAGCGCTGTTGGTCTGTTTATCATCTGAGGCGGTCTTGTCATCGAGCTTTTGCCTGGCCACTGCGAAGTACTGGTGTAGTGTCCTACCTGCGCACAGAGGCACATCACATACAACAACAACACAAGCTAATAGTCAGCCAAGGAATGATGCGTGGCCCAGGTGGGAGGAGAAGGTAACCTCCTGGTGGAGCGGCAGGGACCTTCGGCGAGGAGGTCCTTGGCATCGACCTGTGGTTGCTGGTGTCCTTTAGGAATTCGACCTCCTCCCTGAAGTGGTGGTACGGCTGGACGTTGGTTCCCTCGGACTTGTTGATTGCTCTGTGGTGCGTGTGTAAGTGGGCAGTCATTACATTCGCTATTGCATGGTGGCCGCAGTTGGGAGAGAGAGAACGTACTGGGAGAGGTTGAGGAAGGACGGGCCGTGCCCTGTCCAGTCCTTGTCACGGGTGACATACAGGTAGGCGTGGATCATCTCATGCTGCATGTTCATGTAGAGCCACAACACGCCGCACGACACGCACAACCGCCACACACACGACACATAAGTCAGCACCAAGAGATGAATCAGATGGAAGGAGGACGGCTACCAAGAGAGCGTCGATGATGTCCGATTTGGAACGGTACTGCAGTATGGGCTCGCTAAGGTTCACAAACACCCCACCGCCTTCCCGCCTCGATCGCACTACGCATTCGCCCGTCTCTCTATGTCCTCTCATTGTTGAGAAAGGGGCAAAGCGAAACAAGTAGGAGAGAGGAAGGCAGGAAGGAAGGGGGCGAGACCTTCGCAAGGTGCTGCTCCAGCTCACCTGCACACGAGCAGCCAGCCGCGAATGGAAGAAGCGGCGGTCGAAGCGCCTGAACAGCTCCTGCAAGTCCACTACCCAGTCGCCCTCCTCTTCCTCCGGCACCTCCTGCACTCTGCCCCCTGCGCCCTGTTGCATCTTGGTGCGTGCGCCTCAAGTTGTACGAATCTTCTTGCGCGGTGAAGTAATTGCCGTGTTTTTCCTGGAAAAACGAATTCCGAAATATTTAACTTTCATTCTTTCTAATCACAGATGAAGAGGAAGGCGAGCAAAGAGGGGGACGCGGGGCCGAAGACGGCGAGGCCGGAAGCTGAGATCGGCAACACAGACTGGGAGGCGAAGACGGTGGTGCAGCTGCGCGCCCTACTCAAGCGGCGTGGTCTGCCCACCTCCGGACAGAAGGCCCAGCTCATCTCGCGTCTGCGCGATAACAAATCCGATTCTGATTCGGGCACCATCACCAACAAGAGACTAAAAACAAAAGCAAAGGAAGATGAAGAGGCCGAAGAAGAGGACGAAGAGGACGAAATGGCAGAGATTGACTACATCGTGAAGGAGAGGACAGTGCCCAGATCGAAGAGGAAGGAGTACCTGGTTCGGTGGGTGGACGGCGCCGAAGACGGGTGGCTGCCCGAGTCAGACCTGCGCGGCACGCCGGCGCTCAAGGAGTGGAAGGACGCCATCCCGCCCGAGGACGAGGCGCCCGCGCTGCCGCCCCACCGCCTGGACGCGCTGGTCGTCCAGCTGGCCAAGCTGGTCGAGGCGAGCCGGCGCATGGTAGTCTACACGGGCGCTGGCATCTCCACTTCGGCTGGCATCCCAGGTACACACGACACACGACACACGACACACTACACAAGCGCCACACATGAACTGACTTGTTGCTCTCTACGGGCAGACTTCCGAGGCAAGAACGGGCTGTGGGTGCGTGGCGCGCCCAAGAGGGCCGTTGTGGAGCTCACCACGATCGAACCCACTCCCACCCACCGCGTCCTGGTACGTACCGGGAGGGCCAGGCTTCTCCTCGGGGTTGCGTCGTACTTGGCTGACTGCTACGGTCTTGTCCGCGCATAGGCCGAGCTGGAGCGCATGGGCAAGGTGCATTTTATAGTGAGCCAGAACTACGACAATCTACACATCAAGAGCGGGTTTCCGAAAGGTGAGGCGGCAACCTCGACTGCGCAGTGTTTGTAGGTTTTAGGTCTGGTGGCCGGCCAACTGACTTTTCTTTGCTGACGTCGCAGAGAAGCTGGCCGAGCTCCACGGGAACCTCTTTGTATGTGTCCGCCGGCCCCTATTCGTTGCTTGGGTACTTCTTGCTGACTTGCTGCAGGCCGAGATCTGTGCCAAGTGCGGCATGAAGTACTACAGGGACTACGAGGTGACCAAGAAGGACAGTGACGAGGATGAGGACGAAAGTGAAGATGATGAAGATTCGCACTTGACCCGCCGATCATGGTACCACTTCTTTGAAAGAAGAAGAAGAACGAACCTTCTCCCCAGCTGCCAACCTGACGGATCCTCCACAACGCCAGTGACCAGGAAGGCTGCGATGGCGCGTTGCGAGACACGATCGTCCATTTTGGTGAGGGCTTTGAAGAAGACGTCTTTGCCGCGGCGGTCGCCAAATCCAAGGAAGCCGACCTGACCCTGTGTCTAGGTACCCTCTCGTGTCCCTCCGCTTCTGGTGTCTTTCGGTTGTGGGCCGTGTGCCTGATGATGATGGTGATGGGCGATCACAGGCTCGAAGCTGTCGGTCACGCCAGCGTGCGACATGCCGTTCTACTGCAAGCAGAAGCGAACGAAGGAGCAGAAGAAGAGAGATCAACGCAGAGCAGGCCGAGCAAGAACGAAGGACGCAGGCAAGAAGGAGGAGAAGGCGGAGGAGAATGATGAGGAAGGCCGCGAAGGTGAAGCCAAGGTGGCGATCTGCAACCTGCAACCAACGGACAAGGACCACGAGGCAGATCTGGTCATACACCACACCTGCGACGAAGTCATGACCGCCCTCCTCGACATCCTCAACCAGCGACGGACAGCAGCAGCACGAGCGGAGGAGCCAGTCCACGACTAATATTAATATTAATCTATTAATTTTAATTGAAATAATCACCGCAGCGTTTCGTGAAAGTGTTGCCGTGGGAAGGTAACGGCACAGAGCAGAGTGGGCGGCGAGTTGTTGTAGCGTGGGACAGCAAGATGGACAAGAAGAGCTCGCAAGGGAAGAAAGTGCCCTTGGATTTGAAGAGGAAAAAGTCGCAAGGAAAGAAGGACAAGGCCAAACAGGTTCTCACCTCACCCCCCCCCCGAATATATTCTGTAATATAATATCAAATTATAAAATATCATAATAATGTTATTCTGTTGTGCAAATAATCAAATAAACATAAATAATTCTGTATTGCTAAAAGGTACAGCCACAGCATCACAGGGCGAGCGGGATACGTGTGCTGTTCCTCAATGTACCGCTGCACGGGCACATCAACCCCACGCTCGACCTGGCCTCGGAGCTGGTCCTCCGGGGCAACGAAGTGGTCTACTACGCGTCAGCGTCTTTCCGCGAGAAGGTCGAGGCCACCGGCGCCGAGTTCAGGTGAGAGCGCCAGGTGGACCGCAGGTCTGCTCTTTGGTCAGCACCTGCAGGCGTGGTGCCCTAATTCAATGGCTCACGTTTGCAACCAACAGGAGCTACGCCTACGAGGAGTTCAAGCTGAAGAGAGAAATCACCAACATCTTCAACACTGCGCGCGAAATGCTTGACGCTGCCGAGCATATCCTGCAGGTGCCCATGTCTTCTTCTGCTCGGGTGATGGATGTTACACCTCACCATCGCGCATGTCACACGACACGTGCAGGATTCTTTGATAGATCAGTTGAAGATGGAGCGGTACGACCTGATCGTGCACGACGTCAGCGCCATTTGGGGCATCTTCCTCGGCAAGATCCTCAACCGACCCTACGTCTGCTGCTTCCCCGGTACGGCGGACGTCTCGTATGGCGCGATTCCTTTCTTTAATAAGCAGCTGACCGCACGCACACGCGCCCCCGCACACGCACACGCGTCACCGCACACGACATGAAACAGGTCTAGCGCCACAGTGGCGTGGGTACGTGAAGAGCAAGACGATCATCGCCCGCGGCATCATGGAGCGCTTCGAGGGCGGCGAGTATGTGAAGGAGAGCAACCACATCCTCGAACGCCTCCTGACGCGGTTCCAGATCACCGGGCTCACCGTCACCAACCTCTTCAAGGGCGGGCCGTACCTCAACCTCGTCTCCACCTCTGCCTACTTTCAGGTGAACTTTTCACCACCCACCACCCAGCACCTGAAGCCGCGTGATTGCTCAGCTTGTTAGTTATGTGGGGAATTGGACAGCCATTTGCGGACGTGATGCAGCGGAAGAATTTCCTCTTCTGCGGCCCGTCGCTGGAGACCCGCCGCGAGACGGTCGAGTTCCCGTTCGAGCTGCTCCCGCCGTCGCGGCGCAAGGAGGCAAAGAGCGAAGGCGACGTCGACACGTCCGAGAAGAACGAAGAAGACGGCGATGACGAGAAGGAGAGCGAAAGCGAGGATTCCTCCAGCAAGGAGAGGAGGCACCTCGTCTACATATCCATGGGCACGCTCTACCGGATGAACCCTCTCTTCTTCCGGGTTCGTCGCTTTCGCTCTTTTCCTCTCGCTTTCGCTTTCGCTCTTTGGCTTGATCACTTCCCTGAACCGACGGTTGTGGTCATCAACAAAGCAGACGTGCTTCGCCGCGTTCAAGAACAGCCCGCACCTGTTTGTCATGTCTGTGGGCAAGGGCAACCTTGGTACATGAACCACACACATCGCACACGCGTCACTCTGTCACGCTCACTCACCAGACCGCGCAGAGAATGTGGGAGAGACGCCAGACAACTTCATTGTGAAGGAGTACGTGCCGCAGCCGCAGATTCTAGACAGGGCCAGCGTGTTCATCTCGCACGGCGGCATGGGCGGCATCAGCGAGGCCATGGTGTCCAACGTGCGCTGCTCGCCCCTCCCCTCTCCCTTAACATTCCTTGGATTCCACCAATTTTGACGCCGTGCGTCTACAGGTTCCCATGGTGCTCCTCCCGAAGACCATCGAACAGCAGATGAACGCGCGCCGTATAGAGGTACGCGCGCACCTCGAGACCTGTGCCCTCGCGGTTGTGTGCGACTCACGCGCCTGTTTCTTTCGATCTGCGCAGGAACTCGGCGCGGGCGTGAATCTCGGATGCCAGGCGGAGGACATCACTGCCGACCGGCTCAGGCTCGCTGTCGACCGGTTGCTCGACCCGAAGGTGTCCGCGGCCTACGTCGAGGCCACGCAAAGGGTCAGCCGATCGTTCGAAGAAACCGGAGGGGCCAAGGTACCACTTGATTAAACCCCCCGAGCAGCTGGCACGCAACACTGCGCTCACGCACCATCGCATACGCACGCACACGCAGGCAGCAGTGGAGGCGATTGAGAAGATGATGGAGGCGCTGGCGATAGCGCAAGCTCACTCGATGCCCTCGATCTGGGCGCGTCTGCGTCACACAAACTCGGCTTCGGCGCTGCCGCTCACCGCCCGGCTGTCGTGGGAACGCAAGGCCGAGGCCACCGAATTCGTCCACAACTTTGCCTACGTGCTTGGTAACACTCCACACCACACAGAACGCGTGCGCACGACACGCACGACACGCGCGACACGCCGGAGACTGATGTGATTCTGCACATACTGTTCCTGGTGCGAACAGATTCGTCAAACAGGACGGCGGCTGCAGAGTTCTTCGTGCACAACGGAAGCTTCAACGGAGCTCGCGGCGGGGACGCCATCAAGGAGTTCATGCGCTCCAGTCTGCCCACGCCCCTCGCACAGCGCCACGTGTACGTTCAGACGCGCGCCCCCAGCTGTGATGTGCGTTCGTCCGACTCACGTGTGTGTGTGCGTGGCGTGTAAAGGTTCTCGAATGTGTTGGTGACCGCACGAGACGACACGCACCTGCACGTCAAGGCCCTGGTGCAGGCCTATCACGAACAGGGCACCGTCTGCGTGCAGGACTACACGTACGTACACGCCTCTGTTCCCTCTTGCAACTTCAATCCGCGCGCAAGTTCTTACGTCATCACAACCACGACTGCGCGCAGAGCGGACCTGGTGCGCAACGACCAGAACAACGGGTGGCTCTTTGAGAGCGTTGTGATGGTGCCCTTCACGACTGTCGCGGCGCCGCGGCCGACCACCCCGCGCTCGGGCAAGAAGAGCTCGCCCCGGGTGCCCACCAAGACCACGCCGAAGGAGAAGCGACGCAACGATCACCACAAGGGGAAAGAGCGGCGCGAGTCGGAGAGCAGCGATGCGAGCGATGTGAGCGGGCTGGGCAGCAGCGATGACGCCTATCAGCTCAAGCTGCGGGACCTGGAGGCCAGTGAGCGCGAGGCCAAGGAGGAAGAAGACCACAGGTCGGCCAGGCGCAAGGGCAGCGCTCCCTGAGCTTTCTTTTATTGGAATTTCAAACTGCGAACTTTGAGTTCACATAAACACCGACGTGGCCGCCACGTAAACCTTGCCGCCTGGCACAACAAGCTCAACGAGCAAGCACAAGAAGCACCCACGACAGCATGAGCAGCATAAAAGTGCGTTATTTTTATTTATTCAGTGTAATTATTAAAATATTGCATAATAAAATGAAGTAACTTGGTTGGGTGCTGGTCTGCATCACCAGTATTTGACGCAGGAAGAGGCGCAGAACATCGACGTGGATCTGATGGGACCGTCGTGCGGGTTCTCCGACGACCAGGTACTGCTGCTCCTCGCTCTCTCTCCTCTCTCTTCGGCTTGGAGTGGTGCACTCACAGGGCGCGTGGGCGGGAGGGCAGCTGATGGAACTGGCGGGACTGAGCTGCGCGACGGCGATCGCCAAGGTCTTCCCCACGCACCGCAACGTGCTTCTCATTGCCGGCCCCGGCAACAAATATCCTCTCTTTCCTTCCGTTCCACACACACGCAGCGCACATCACCGCACGCGCATCACTGCATGACACGCATCACCGCACACGCAGCAACACGCAGGGAATTGCGCATGAGTATGGAATCCTTAACGTAGGGGCGGTACTGGCGGCGATGGCCTCGTGTGCGCTCGCCACCTGCTGCTCTTCGGCTATCAGCCGACCATCCACTACCCCAAGCGCACCGACAAGCAGCTGTACCGCGTAACGCCTCCCCTCCCCTCCCCTCCCCAGCGCGGTTCACACTTCCTTTCACTCGGCCTGGCTTCTCTACTGAACAGTTCGAGCGCCTCGTGCGCGTGTGCACGTGTGTCATGCGTTTCGCACCTCACCGTTGTGCAGAACTTGGTGAAGCAATGCGAGTGCATGGAGATTCCCTTCATCGACCAGCTGCCCGACAGGCTGGAGGACTACGACGTACGTACCCAAAAGAACTGCTTCGCGTGCAATGCCAATGTCTCCATGTGCTCCTGTCTCAGATATCTCTAATGTGCATGAATTTGTGCGTGTGCGGTGGTGCGTGTGTGTGTGTGTGCGCGCGCGCGCGCGATGGTGCGTGTGCGGTGGTCCGTGTGCGGTGGTCCGTGTGCGTGTGCGTGTGCGTGTGCGTGTGCGCCTGATGATGTGGGCTACAGTTGATTGTGGACGCCATCTTCGGATACAGCTTCAAGCCGCACTCCGGCGTCCGACCGCCTTTCGACGCCGTTTTGAAGGTCCCCCACTCTTGCCGTATTTGACCCGGTCGCACTACGCACGCCATGTTCCACTAAACTTGGGCCACAGAGGCTGCGCGAGACCGAGGTGCCCATCGCCTCCCTCGACATTCCCTCCGGCTGGGACGTTGAGAAAGGTCCTTCCACCATCCATCCTCCTCTCACCTTGCCATGTCCATAGGAGGATTGATCGTACCCATTCCTTCATCCTTCTTCTTCTCTGTCTTCTTCTGTGGCATCTCTGTGCGTTGCAGGCGACAGCGCGGGCGTGGGGGTCAAGGAACCGCACCTCCTTGGTACGTGCGCGATACACTTGCACACAGAGGCGGGTCACTAACGTTCGGCCAACAACCCTGCACAGTGTCGCTCACGGCGCCGAAGCTGGCGGCGCGCTCCTTCCGCAAGGAGCACTGGCTGGGCGGCCGCTTCGTTCCTCCGTACGCTCGCGTGCAGCCGCGTCCATCACCATCTTTTACCACGACGCCAATTTCGCGCCGTGTGTGTGAGCTCACCTTGAGGTCGGCTTGCGCGTGGTGCAGGTCTCTGGAGAAGAAGTACGAGCTCAACTTGCCCCCGTACCCCGGCACCGATGTGGTTGTCCGCCTCCCTCCTCCTTCGTCCTTGTAATACCTTCACTTCTTGCTTGGAACGTTAGAGAGAAAAACATTTTCTTTTCTTTCCACACAAGAAAATACGTACAAGGAAAAGTGACAAATAAATGAAAATATTTCTTTCCACACAAGAAAATACGTACAAGGAAAAGTGACAAATAAATGAAAATATTTCTTTCGCTCGTGTTGGCGGCAGAACACACGTCGCACGCAGTAGCAGGCCCGGCCTTCTTCTCTTCCCCAAATCCACGGTGCCACCCTCCAGCACCAGCCTGCGTTTGGCCACTTGCACGACCACCCCCATCACCAGCACCAGCACCTGCACGCGCCCCTCCTTCACGCCCCTTCGGCGAGCCTTTGCCACCACTTTGCCCCCACGAGTAGCAGAAGTACCACCAACCATGAGCACCCGCCGCCTCAAGGTCCCCTTTTCCTCTGCCTTCTTCTCTGCCGCCTCCTCCAAGGAGACTTACGGGAGGGGCGCGTTTGTGCTGCACGTGCGGCTGCAGTACTTGACGCAGGAGGAGGCCCAGAACATTGACGTGGAGTTGATGGGACCCGTCTGCGGCTTCTCCGTCGACCAGGTAAGCACTGCTTCAGCTCTTCTTCTCCCCCTTGCTCAGTTACAACATGTGGTGGTGGGTGGGTGGGCGGGAGGGCAGCTGATGGAGCTGGCGGGACTGAGCTGTGCGACGGCGATCGCCAAGGTCTTCCCCACACACCACAACGTGCTCGTCATCGCCGGCCCCGGCAACAAATATCCTCTCTTCCTTCCGTGCCACACGACACGACACGACACGACACGCACGACACGACACGACACGCACACGACCACGACACCACGACACACGGCCTTTGCCATGCGACACAACACGAGTATGGAATCCTTAACGTAGGGGCGGTACTGGCGGCGATGGCCTCGTGTGCGCTCGCCACCTGCTGCTCTTCGGCTACCAGCCGACCATCCACTACCCCAAGCGCACCGACAAGGACCTGTACCGCGTAACGCCTCCTCCCCTCCCCTTTCCACCAACCCACACTGCGCAGGCGCCTCAGATTCACATCGACGGTGTCATGCGTTTCGGACGTCCCCGTTGTGCAGAACCTGGTGAAGCAATGCGAGTACATGGGGATCCCCTTCATCGACCAGCTGCCCGACAGGCTGGAAGACTACAACGTATGTACTGATGTGAAACGTGGCCCGGGCGTTGTTGCTTTGCTTCTTTTTGTGAGGTTGACCGCCTGCGTGTTGCGTGCCCGGCTTGCGTGGAAATGGGGGGGGGCAGCTGATCGTGGATGCCATCTTCGGGTTCAGCTTCAAGCCCGAGTCGGGCGTACGACCACCATTCGACGCCGTTTTGAAGGTCTATTGCACCCCACCATCTACTCCGTGTTAGTCGTGTTCTGAACTGGAGGTTTGGGCACAGCGGCTGCGCGAGACCGAGGTGCCCATCGCCTCCATCGACATTCCCTCCGGCTGGGACGTTGAGAAAGGTCCTTCCACCGTGGCCGCGTCCACCCGAAAAGAAAGGAAAGGGGTCGCTCAACCGCTTTCGCTTTCGCTTTCCCTCCTCCTCAATGCAGGCGACAGCGCGGGTGTGGGCGTCAAGGAGCCGCAGCTCTTGGGTATGTGCAACTCTGAGCCTGACGAGCCTGCAACAATCAAATAACCAGCAAAGCCCTCTGCACAGTGTCGCTCACGGCGCCGAAGCTGGCGACGCGCTCCTTCCGCAAAGAGCACTGGCTGGGCGGCCGCTTCGTTCCTCCGTACGCTCGCGTCCATCACCATAACAACAACTTCTTCTTTGTGTTGTGCTCTGACTGGTGGGTTGGCGCAGATCGCTGGAGAAGAAGTACGAGCTCAACCTGCCCGCCTATCCGGTCACCGATGTAGTTGTCCGCCTCCCTCCCCCCTCGTAGCCAACGTTGCACCAACAGCCCATCTAAATGCATCCCAACCGTTTGGTCTGGTGGGTGATGTTATGGAATTCAAATTATTTTATTAGCATTTGCCTTTCTACGGGCCAATCAAAATATCAAGCGTCGCCACCCAACGCGCGTTTGTTTTTGGTATGTACCCATACATCTTCTCGCGCCGACATTGGCCGACCTGCAACTATATAACAACGACCAGGCTCAGGTCGTTCTCACACCAGCCAACATCTCAACAACATCAACGTATTTTCAAAGCTACAGCAATGCAAGCCGCTCAGACCAACACTGTCGCATCGACCGGCCGTCTTGCCGGAAAGGTCGCGATCGTGACCGGCAGCTCGCGGGGTATAGGTGCGGCCATCGCCAAGCAGCTGGCCGCTGAGGGTGCTATTGTGGCGGTCAACTACGCCAACGGCGCCGAGGCGGCCAAGGCCGTGGTGGCTGAGATCGAACGGGCTGGCGGCCAGGCCCACGCATTCCAGGCCGACGTGTCCGTGCGGGCTCAGGTGTTCAACCTGGTCGACCAGGTGGTCAAGCGCTGGGGCCGGCTCGACGTGTTCGTCAACAATTCCGGCATCTTCTCGATGGCGCCGCTGGCCGACGTGGCCGAGGACGAGGTCGACCGGCTGCTGGGGGTCAACTACAAGGGCACCCTGTGGGGCATCCAGGCCGCTTCCAAGGTCCTTCCCAACGGGGGCGCTATCATCAACGTCTCCAGCGTTACCTCCAGACTTGCTCTACCGGTGCGTTGTGTCTGTCGCGTGTCGTGTCATGTCGTGTTGTGTTGTGCGATCTTACAATCCCCCTCGCTGTGCGTGACGTGCAGAACTTGGGCGCCTACGCGGCGACGAAGGCCGCGGTGGATTTGCTTACGAAGACTGCGGCCAAGGAGCTGGGCGCAAGGGGCATTCGCGTCAACTCGGTGGCGCCGGGCGTGACCGAAACGGACATGTCCGACACGATGGGCGACCAGGCCAAGGCCGGCATCAAGGCCCAGACCCCGCTCGAGAACCGCCTCGGCAAGCCCGAGGAGGTAGCTCACGTCGTGGCCTTCCTCGCAAGCCCGCAGGCAAGCTGGGTGACCGGCCAGAACCCCGAACTTGCCGGTGGTGTGTAACCAGACAGAAGCCTGGAAATAAACCAGCCCTTGTGCGATGGCACCGCCGAAGAAGGCGCGAGCCGAGTTCCGGGATGAGAGAGTGCCATGTCGGCTTTATCGACGTGTCGGCGGACGCTTTCGGCGCTTGACTGATATATCGCGATTGGTGGGCCACAGCTTATATAATATTGTATCTTGTTGTTTTAGTACACCAACTGTGAAGATGGAGTACGCGTATGAGGATCGAGTCCATGAGGGTGAGCGCGAGGTGCAGGCCAAGCTGGGAGTCCTCGAGGCCCAAGTCGACGTAAGTTCTCCTTCCCCCCCAAAAAAAAGAAAAGAAAAGTAATGATGATAAGGCAGGGGGTAACCTCCTACTTCTTTATCAACTGGCGTGCCATTGCAGATGACGAGGGTCATGCGCCCCTACATGCCACACCAGCATCGCCTCTTCTTTCAGGAGTGCCTCGCCTGTCTCTTCGTCGGTACGTGTTCTCAGTACTTACTCGACTTCACTTTTCGAGTACTCAACGCCACACGCAGGCTCGGTGGACCGCCAGGGGCAGTTGTGGGCGTCGGTGCTGCCGGGCCTGCCGGGCTTCATCGAGTCGCCCACGGACAAGAGCCTCCATGTGCGCACGCCCGTGCCGCCGCACGACCCGCTGGTCGCCGGCGGCGGCCTCCAGCCCGGCGCGCCCATCGGGTTCCTGGGCATGCAGCTCGACACGCGGCGCCGCAACCGGGCCAACGGCAAGGTCGCACGCGTGCACGACGGCGGCCGCGGCGGCTTCGACTTTGCGCTCGACATCTCGTTCGGCAACTGCCCAAAGGTGTGTGCCAGTTTTTCGCCGTTCGTTCCTCGCATTCTCCAGCTGACAGACCGCACACGCACACGCACACGCACACGCACACGCAGTACATACAAACGCGCGCGGTGGAGTTCACGGAGGACGCGGGGGAGAGGCTGGGGCGGGAGTGCGAGGTGGTGGAGACCAAGCGAGTGCTCAGCCCGGAGATGCGCGCCTACGTAGAGCGCTCCGACACCTTCTTTGTGGCCAGGTACCTACAAAAGCAACTTTCGCTGCATCAAGACTCTTCTTCTCACCACTCTTCTGCGGTCGTGTCGTGCGTGTCGTGCGGTCGTGCGTGTCGTGCGTGTCGTGTGGCGTGTTGCAGTTGCTTTCTGAAGGACCCTAATCATCCGGCCCACGGAGTCGACGTGTCGCACCGAGGCGTCGAGCCCGGCGCCATCCACTTCCGCGACGACGGCGATGGCGCGAGCGCGGCCACCACCTTGGTGTGGCCCGACTACGTCGGCAATTTCCTGTTCAACACGCTGGGCAACCTGGTCAAGGACCCCCGGTGCGGCCTGCTCTTCATCGACTTTGGGCCGAGCGGCGACGTGCTGCAGCTGACGGGCCGCGCGACGGTCGAGTGGGACGTGCGCGAGGTGCCCGGGGCGCACCGCAGCGTGGCCTTCACGGTCCAACGCGCGCGGCTGGTGCGTGGCGCGCTCTCAATGCTGCGCTCCACCTTTCTCGAGCGGTCGCCTTTTCTCCCCGCCGCCACCAGTGCGTGTCTCCTCCACACCCTCGCACACGCACCACCGCACACAACCGCACACGCCCACGCACATCATCGCACATGCACTAAAGTGAATATACGGCAGTGCGTGCGGGAGTGGATTTCTCGACGGGCTTGAGCGGCTATCCAGTCACGATTGCCCGCAAGAAGCGTGAGACGCACGACACGATGACGCTGGTGCTCACCGCCACCATTCCGCTCACCACCACGCAGAAGCCGGGCCAGTACGGCACGTTCCTGATCGACCTCCCCGGCGGCGACGCCTCGTCATCGTCGGAGACCGCGACCCTGTCGCGGACGTGGACGCTCTCGTCGGCGCCGCTCTCGCCCAGCGAGTACCAGGTGGCCATCACCGTCAAGCGACAGCCCGGTGGCAAGGCCTCAGCGTGGCTCCACGACGCCAGCGTCGGCGACTCCCTACGGCTGGTCAACGTCGGCGGCGACTTCCACCTCCCGCCGACTGCGCCCGGCGACGACGCCGCGGCGGGCGCCCAGCGGCTGCTCTTCGTGGCCGGCGGGGTCGGCGTGACCCCGCTCATGTCCATGCTGCGCGGGCTGGTCCACCGACAGCCGGCCGCGGTCGACGTGGTCTTCCTCTACAGCGTGCGGACCACCGACGACTTCATCTTCGGCGACGAGCTGGTGGAGCTCGCATCGACACTGCCCGGCCTGGCGCTGCACGTCACCGTCACCCAGGCCGAGGCCGAGGCCGGCCAGGCGCTGCCGAGGCGGGGCGGAGTGTCGGTGCGCCGGGGCCGGTGGACGGCCGAGGCCATCCGCGAGTGTGTGCCGGACCTGGCCGAACGCGCGGCCTACGTGTGCGGCCCCGACGCCTTCATGACCCACATCACCACCTTGCTCAAGGACGAGCTCCACTCCCCGGCGCCCGTCCACACCGAAAGCTTCACCTACTGAGCAACCGCACACGCACGCGCGCGCGTGTGTCGTGTGTCGAATGTGAAGAGTAGTATTGTTTAAAAATATACAGAGCCGGCCCCATCAGATGAATTGGAACTTGCGCTTGGTGGTCTTGACCTGCTTCTTGTCCTCCTTCTTCTTGGCCAGCGCTTCGAGTCGTTGGCGGAGGGCCACCTTGCGGCTGGTCTCCTCGGGCGACTCCTGGTAGCTCAGCGGGTTCACCGCCTCCCGCGCTGGACCGGGGCTCCTCCGCTGCTGCTGACGACCCGTGGGTGAGCCACAAACACAACACACGCGCGCGTGCGGTGCGATTGTGAATGTGCGTGCGTGTGCGGTGGTGGTGTGCGTGTGCGGTCTGTGCGTGTGCGGGTGCGATGGTGCAGGCGATGGAACGCACCGAGGGGGAGGACCAGTCCTGCTGGCTCTGTGGACCCTCATCTGAGGCTTCGGAGAGCGAGAGCGAGGGCACGTCAACCGTAGGCTGTGCGGCAGGCCGCATACGCTTGCGCTTGCTCTCGCCCGGGCTCAGCGACTGATCAAGAAAAAGAATAAACGCGCCGCACGTCAGCCACGGGCGCAGAGAGGGCAGGGACTCGAGCCACACAGAATGACTTCGAAGGTCAAGGGTCGACACACGCACCCCTGAGCTCTCGAACGTGGAAGGCGTGAGCGCGGATGCAGATTCCGTGGAGAGCGGAAGAGAGGCACAGCTGGCCTGGCGACTCAACACCTTCTTTTCTTCTGTTGCGTTTGGCTTGGTGGTGAGGACACGCACGGCACACACGACACACACACGACACATAGAGAGAGAAATGCGCAACGGACGAGCAGACCTTGGTCTTGGTGGTGGGCGGTGAGCTTCTGGTAAATCTTGCCAGTGACGTCGTCCAACGAGAACGTGGGTTCCCGTAGCGTGCGCTTGAAGCTGGACGAGGCCAGCCGCCGGTCCTCAAACCCCTCCGGATCGAAGCGCGCCGTCTGCACAGCTGCACAGCGTTGTATGGCGGTTAGCCACACAACAACTTCAACCACACAACGCAATGAGCAAAAGCAACATGTCAGTACCTTTGGGCAACTTAATGCCTTTGGACCTGTACTCGGCGATCTCCGCATCTGCCCAAAGGTGTTAACACCAAAGAAGGTAACGGTCATCATCATCAAGGTTGGGGTGGTGGTTGTGAGTATTTGTACCCTTGAGGGCGATGATGTTCTTCAGCTCGCGCAGCTGCTGCTGAAGCTCGCTGGTGATGACGAGGAGCGGCTGCAGGAAGGAGGTGCGCAGGAATGCGATCCGCTGCTCCTCGCCGGTGAGCGGGGCGCAGTCAAAGGTCCACTTGAAGCGGTAGAAATCGATCTTGGTCGAGAACTGGACCGACAGCCGTCCATCGGCCTAAGGAGAAGCCAACCATACGATTCGACGTAAGCTGCCCCATCGGTGGGTCGCTACGTGAAGGGCGACAGCAGTAGCAGTACCTGGAGGTCGATCTGGTGCTTGACCTGAGCCGAATGCTCCCTGCGCCCGATGGCCACGTCCACCAGCGACTGCTTCACGAGCAGGAGGATGCGCGCCACGGGTGTATCGACCAAGGGATTGAATTCCTTTTGTAAAAAGTAATCTCCCTTAGTCCAAGTGTGGGGATCGAATGAGAATCATGTGGCGAGGGGAGAGCACCTGCTTGAGTCGTTTGACGTCGGCGCGATCACAAGACTGCACCCACACCGACGTCAAGTCGGTCACGAGAAAAGTGTAGGACGCAGAGGAGAATTTGGACTTGATGAAGTAGGAGGTAGTCGTCTCGGGTCCGCCGAGCAATTCTGCGGTGGCAGGCACTACAAGGGTGCCCCATGGCTCGCTGCTCAGCTCATCGATCACCAGATCTGTCTCCATCTCCTCGCAATTCAAGAGTTCTGTTTCTTGGTTTCGAGATGGACCAGAAACAACCGAGTCGTTGGTTTTGGCGCCAACTGACGTGGAATGGTTGGAATGTGGGAAAAAACTGCCCGCGAACGTTCTGGATGATGGCACGGTGATTTTCGAGATGGTGCAAACAAGGCGCTTCGAGAGTGTACAGTGCTGTTTATTGTGGTATTGATCTTAGTTATGGAGTACAAGCGCAGGAGGATTACTGATCAACGAAATAATTGCTCCTTTGCTGTTGATGAGGAGGAAAATTTGTGCAAAGGTGAATCGGGGTGAGGAGAAGCGGTACGGCGGACGATCATCGACCTATCGATGGGCGGGGGCCTTTTTCTTCAAGCGTCGAGGATTCCTCGTTCCTCATTGGAGGGCGAAGATGGTCTTGGCGTCGAGACAGGAGCTCAGCAGCGCATCCTTTTCTTCTCGCATCGAGAGCGTGATACGGCTGCCGCCCATCCGATTGCAGAGGTGTCGCGTCCAGGTGACCTGCTTGCCGCCGACGAAGATGTAGCCCGAGAAGACCGAGATGTCGTCGGGTCCCGAAGTGGGCTTGGGGAAGGAGTAGCCGAGCACCTCCTTCACGGCCTGCATCACCTCAGCCTGCGTGAGCTCTTCCGCGACGCGAGGCGAGACCACGATGGCATCGATGGGCGTCGTTCGATCATCTTGATCTTGGTCGGGCAAGGTCGAAGTTGTGGTGGGCGGCGCGGCAGCGATGGCCGCCTTCTGGAGCTCCTCGCCCAGCGCGAGGTCGATGCCCTTGAGGGTCGACTGTGCGAACAAGAGCTGGCCCCTGTCGGTCGCGAAGGGCAGGGTGGTGTTGGTGGTCGCCATCTTCTCGAGCTGGTGGTTGCTGGTGTTTATTGTGTGCGTCCGTGGGTCAAACAGGGGTGTGGTGTGCTGTTGTGGTTGTAGTTGTTGTTGTTGTAAGGGAGTGCTGCCCGATGTCTCCTGCTCGCTTCTTTGGCTCGATGGCGCCAATCCTTGAGCTTGCTGCACGACGGAAGGCGGTGTGGACAGGTGGGGGGTGGTGTGGTGCTTGGGTTGTTGTCTCTCTGCTGCGAAAGGTAACGCGAAAGCAGTGGCCGACGGTGAGGCAGGTGCCCTTTTGCTAAGGGGAGCATGTCATAGTCGTCCATCAACGGCTGGCGTGAATGTCCCTGCAAAGAAGGCAGCCAAAATGACTGATGAGGCCACAACTCTACGGGTCTTCGGGGAGAGGAGCCCGAAAGGCGTGTGAAAGAAGCGTGGCCCAGAGAGCCCCGTGGTGTCCTCTCGCTGGCTCTCGACTACGCAGTCGTACTTCTGTGGATGGCCTGGCCAGGAAAGAGAAAGCACCAGGAACCGCCACAGTCTTGCAGGTCCGGCACTCACAAGACGCCGCCTGATGCACGAGCGCGCGCGATCCAGTTTGGCCCGAGGCCTGCGCCAAGGCTCGTCATGGCGGTGGCCCCAGACTTGCCACCCAGACGGAGCGGTTCAAGTGGACCAAGAAAAATGAGTGGAAGGAGCACCTACCACGCCCTCGCGTGAACGAGATGCCACTTGGGCCTGTAGGACAATAGACCGATCGCAAGTTCAGCTCGCCCAAAGGGCAAGAGCTTTGCAAAGCGGGCGCAAGTTGCGTGCTAACAGCCGGAAAGGCACGTATGAAGCAGTCCTGGAATGCGAGGGATGCCACAACCGCGGTGCCGATTTCTGCCAAAGTGCCGACCCGCCCACCAACAGGCAAGAATCAATGTATCTGGCGGGCGTGGGCTTCTGACTGTGTGTGCAATTAATTGGCCGTGGAGTGGATCGATTGGCAAAGATGAATCCAATCACCGCAGCCGTTGGTACGTGGCCACATGCTAATCCATTCTGCGGCCCCAAATCTCATCTAAATCTTCCACCTTGCAGGCCTTTTGGTCTGTATTCTGTTGGCTACGAGCCCCCTTGCCTCAGCCACCATCCACCGAATCAACGTCACGACGTCGGACACCTTCGTGCCAGGACTCGTCTACATCGCTACGGGTGATACTGTGGTGTGGGCAAATCAACCCGGCGGATCGTCGCCACACAACGTCGTGTCCGATTCGCAGTTCTTTACGTGCAGCGAGGGCTGCTTCGTCAATGCATCCACCGGCGCCGATTCCTACATCGTAGCCGGCCAGGCTGGAGATGGCAATTCGAGCACCGCTGCATGGACGTTCAACATCACCTTCACCGCTGCCGGTCTCTACCCCTACCACTGCGACGGCCTGGGTGCAGCGGCCCTCTCGGGCATGGCGGGCGCCATCTTCGTCGCGGACACGCCAGTGGTGCTCGATCAAACCTACAACGGCCTCATCTCGGGCGGCAACTTCGTCGCCATCATCGTGGGCGTGGTTGGCGGAGCCGTGCTGGGCGTTATCCTTCTCGTCATCTCCATCGCCGCCTTCAGGAATCGCGAGGCCTTCATCGCTCCTCTGCGACGGCTCAAGCACTGATGATCCCCATCATGTCCTCTCCTCTCTTCACTTCCTTCGTTCGTGTCACCCTCCTCTCTTTATATCTTCCATCTTTACTTCAACGTGGAGTATAGTTGTACATTCCCTCCATCACTTCCGCTTCTCTCTCCCTTTCTATTCTCTCTCTATTCTCTCTAGTTCTCCGCCGGTCGGTAGTGCTCGATGAGGTTCTTTACAAAGGCGCCCTCGTGAGCCGTGTTGGTCATCATCTTCATCACATCCTCGCAGCGCAACAGTCCCGGAGCAAACACCTGCACGTTCAACCGCACACGCACCACCGCACAACCGCACACGCACTGGTGAGGCGGATGCGAGGAGAGGAGGGGGAAGTGGTGGCGGCAGCCGTACCATGCCGAGGTTGGCGGATCCCATGCGCGTGACGCCGGCGTGGCGGCTCATCTCCTGGAGGAAGCCGAGGAGGAAGTAGATTACAGTCTTGTTGAGCTCGGGCACCCGCGTGTCGACCATCTCCAGGCATTCGGCCGGATTGTTGGCCACCAACACGCACTCGTCACTGCAGTGTTGCCGCGTTGTCGTGTGTGTCGGTGTGTGTCGTGTTGGACCAGGTGAGTCGAGGAGGAAGGAGATGTGTTTGGTGATGGTCTATGAAGGAGCGTACTAGATGCTGTTGGGGATGAGCGGGTCCTTGAGCTCCCTGAACCACATCTTCAGGCAGCCGCCGAGGTCGTTCGGGTCGTCCGACGTGATCGTGTAGTCCACCTGTTCGTGACACACGAGGAGAACGAGAACGCTCAGCTACACGCCCAATTTTCGACAACAACCAAGCTCCAAAGTAAGTCCGGCTGTAGTGGTACCTTGTTGAACTGGGCCTTGAGGCGGGAGATCTCATCGTTCTTGCCCGGCACGCGGAAGATGCCCTCCGTCTTGTGTCCTGTCACCATCAAACACATGAAGAGACGTGGTGTGGTTGGTCGGTTTGGTTTGGTTTGGTTTGGTTTGGTTTGGTTTGGTTTGGTTTGGTTTGGTTTGGTTTGGTTTGGTTTGGTTTGGTTTGGTTTGGTTTGGTTTGGTTTGGTTTGGTTGTCGCGTGTGCTGCTGTTACCTTGGGTGTCGATGATCGCCTTGGTCAACGTCTTGAGAATGATGGGTATCTTCTCGTCGGGGTGAGAAATCTGCAGATGCGAATTGATGACAGCGTGAGCGAGACCAGAGTCAATGACTGGGGAGGGGGATGAACAGAAGAAAAAGACGAAAAAGAAGAAGCGAGAAGAGGCGAGAAGAGAAGGAGCACCATCTGAAGGGCCATGACTTCCTCGAGCGACTTGCCGTAGACCAGATTCGTCGGCTGCTCCTGGTCATCGTCCTTCTTGTCCTTCTCCTTGGCGAAGCCCGCCAGGTGGTTGAGGCCGCGCATGGAGATGGAGCGGAAGGTAAGCATGACCGAGCTGCGTCGGGCAGCGCGTCTCATCTCGTCATTCGATCCCGCGCGCCCGCCGATCATCGAACCGCCGCCGGGTCCGCCCACCGACATGTTTCGCGGCCGCGCGTAGTCCGCATAGCCCTCCTACACATCGCACGCGTCAGTGACTTCACAAGACAGCACGACACACCACACACCACACACCACACCAGAGAGAGAGAGGATGGGTAGGTACGGTGAGTGCGTAGAAGTCCTTGCCGGAGGCCGAGAATTCGACCTTGCGGGAAAGTGGGACGATGGCGCCGGCGTTGAGCATCAGCTCGCCCAGGATCATCGCCTCGAGGTCCATCCTCACGCCCGTGCCGGCTTCCAGCATCCACTTGACCAGCGTTTTGCCTTCGGGTGCGGCCCGCGGACCAACCAGAGAGAAGTGGGTGAGAAGTGCGTGTGGGCGCGCCAACGCCAAAATGGCGGCGCTGGGTCGATTGAAAAGAGCGAGTACCGCTGAAGGACTGGGTGTAGATGTTAGAATTGAAGACGCGCGGCTTCTTCTCGAACGGCAGCGTGCTGAGCTTGGGGATCACATTGGCCAACTGGTTCAGGCCATCGCACACAATCACCCGGTCAGTCAACCAGACACGACACGCACGCACACACACGCACGCACGCACGCACGCACGCACGCACGCACGCACGCACGCACGCACGAAACACGACACACGACCAGCTTGTGTGGCGTACGGAGAGGCGCTGGGCGAATTTGACTCCGGCGGAGGGCGACGGCGGAGCGGCGGCTGAGTGGGACGAGCTCGACGCGAGGGACTTGGTGGTCGGACCCGCCCGCACGGCGCTCAGCGGCGGGTCGTTGTTGGTGATCCGCGTCCGCTCCGTCTGTGCGCCCTTCTTCTTGGCCTTGCCACTCTTCGTCCCCTCTTTGTCCCCCACGGCGCCTTCATCGAGCTTCAGTGGCGTCACCGCTCCGATTCCGCTTCCGCCTCCCGACGCTGGTGCGGGCGCTGTCGTTGTCGCAGCGGTACCCTCGCCGCCACGGGGCGTCTTGGGTGCCTTCTTCTTCTTTTTCTTCTTTTTCTTTTCGCCACCGGCGGCGTCGTTGCCGTTGCCAGCCGCGGCTGCTCGTGGCGAGAGCACAGGGTCGACTTCTTTCTTTTCCTTCTTTGACTTCTTCTTGGTGGTCTTCGCTTTCTTCTCCCCTCCCTCCTCCGCTTCGTTTTCGTTCTTTTCCTCCTTCGCTTTTGCTTCGCTTTCTTCGCTGTTTGACGGGGTGGGCGTTGCAGCTGCGTCTGAGACAGATGGGCCGTCTTCGTCTGTCTTTGTCTCTTCTTCACCGGTGGCGGGCGTCTCCTTTCCCTGTTGCTCCTCATGTGCTCCTCCCCTCCCCTCTTCTTCGCTCTTTGCCGTTTTCCCATCGTTTTCGTTCTTTGGTACTACGTCTTTCTTGTCGTTGTCGTCCACCGCCTGCGTCCGCGGGCTCGCGAGGTCTCCCTCCCGCTTGGCTTCGGCCGCGTCTTGGAGGGCCTCCAGCTCCTTCATCTTTCGTTTGTTCTTCTTCCTCCGTAGGGTTTCGGCGCCCCTCGTCTTCGTTTTGGTCGTCTTCGCCCCCGCCACACCCTCGGCTACTGCTGTCGTCTTCGCCGACCCCGCCTCTCCATCTCCTCCCTCGACGCGGCTCGTCGTCGTGCTCTCATCCTCCTTCCGAGCCGAATCCGCCATTTCGCTTTCTTCAATTCCCGAGATTAGGTCGCGATTGGTGTGATTTGAACGGATTGAGGTTGTGAGGCTGTTGGAATCTGAAGGTGAAGATAAAGTTGACCAGATGCTAGATGAAGGATTGAAGCGCACGGCCCCGTGTAAGCGCGGAAATGACTTTGTTGTCGTATGCGTTGGTGGCCCTTTGGTTTCGTGTCCTACGCGCTGGTTGGGCCTCCACCTGGATCGAAAGTTCCCATTCGTGGGTTCTTAATTTTGTTTCTGTTTAGGTTTGGAAAACAGAAACAAAAAGGAAATGCAAAAAGTTACAATCAAAGTTGGTGTTAGAAGAGTCAACTTGCAGTGGAGGCCTGCACCAAGGTCAGGTGGAGCTTGGGCCAGGCTGCCAAGGTCCAGGCGTGGAGCGAAAGAACGCGGTGGGAGTCTTGCGACAGGGGATCTGCCGGTGATTGGCCCGTGGCCTGATTAAAAGTATTATTAAACTAGTTTATTGCAATAAATAGCCAATTAATTTATTTATCGAGAGAAAGCGGAGCGTGAGAGGACACGCAACGAACAGAGCAGCGGCGAAGCTGGCCGGTGGCTTTGTTGGACAGAACTGAACAGAACAGAACAGCTTGAAAGAGATGGAGGTGGAAGTGAACCGCGGCACGACCCCTAGATGGGAAGACGACGCGGGCAAGGTGTCCAAGGAGACGGAGGATAGTTGGTCCCGCACCCGCCCCAAGAAGAAGCGTGCGCCGCGAAGCCGAGGGGGCGACACGCCCACGACTCTACGGAAAGAGGAGCCGGTGCTCACCAGCTCGTCCTCCTCCAGGTCCTCCTCCACCTCGACAACGCCGAGAACAGCAGAAGAAGCGGAGAAAGAAAAGAACGAAGAGGAGACGAAGCGAAAGCGACACGAAGGAAAGAACGAAGACGAAGGAAAGAACGAAAGAACAACACCAAGGGGGAAGGGGGGAGACGGCAACAAGGGGGACCACGCCACAAGGAAAAGCTCGAGTGAGAGGATAGGCACCCAGGTGAGCCTCAAGTCGAACTCCAGCAACACGAAGCAGAAGAAGTCTGGCACGATGAGATCATCAGCTCCCGAGAAAACGAAGGACAAGCTCGACGGGGGAGGGGACAACAAAGAACGAAAAGCGAAGGGGGAGGGGGGAGGCGGCAAAGAAGAACGAAAACGGCGGAGCTCGAGCGACCGCGAGGTGGAGACCAACCGCCACCACCACCGGCGAGGCAAGGCCCTGCGCAGCAGCGCCAGTAGCGAAGATGGTGATGACGACGACAAGGCCAAAGAAAAGATTGACAAGATTGGATTGTCGCCCAGGGGAGCTCCCAGGAAAGCAGCTCGCCAAGAACAAAGGAGCAGAAGGAGAACACCAACAACAAGAAGGCCGAGTCGCCCAGCCAAGACGCGACGGGGCGCCGGGCGACCATCGCGGTCGCGTCTTCCCCGCCCACCGCGCGCCACACATCGTCGTCGTCGTCGTCATCGCCCAAGGAAACCTCTTCCTCTTCATCGCCCCCGACCGCCGCCGCAAGCGCGTTGATGCGGAAGCAGAGGGAGAAGGGCGCCCTCAGCGACGTCGTCACCACCCAAGGCACGTCCCTATTTATTTATTCATTTATTTCTGATTATTTTTAGAGTATTTGGGTATGGGATATCATTTTCTTATTTCTGGTCACATTTCTTTGTTTATTTTATTTTATTTATTTTGGTAAACGCAGAAATGATGGAGGCGACATTTGGGCAAGACCTGAAGAAGCTGGAGTACCTGTGGACGCGCGGAGCCTCCATCGACTGCCACGACGAGACCAACGGCTACACTCCGCTGCACTGGTGCCCTTTCTCTTTGCCTCACACGTTTAGCTCCTGATCCGCTCACCGCACACGCACACGCACCACCGCACACGCACCGTCGCACACCGCACACGCACACGCACACGCACACGATGCTTGGTTGACGTGTGTCGTACGACAGGGCGATTATCAACGACAAGCAGCACAGCGTGTCGTGGCTGCTCACCCACGAGGCCAAGGTGAATGCCAAGGACAGCATGGGGTGGACGCCCCTGCACTACGCCGCCCACAGCTCCAAGACCGACGTCACCCGCGCCCTCCTCGAACGCGGCGCCAGCCCATCCCTCAAGAACAACAAGGGCAAGCTGCCGGTCGACATCGCCAAGAGCCGGGTGATCGCGAAGCTGCTAAAGGAGGCCAAGGACAAGGAGAAGGGACCCAGCAGCCGCCTCTCCTGGTTCGGCTTCAAGGTTCGTGCGTTTGTCGTGCGTGTCGTGTCGTGTGTGTGTGTGTGTGTTGCGTGTGCGTGTGCGTGTGCGTGTGAGCTCACATAAGACGACGAATTTGAATGGACAGGCAACTGAGGGAACGTCGAGCTCGTCGGCACTGATCAACAACGCGGCGGGCAAAACAGCAACGGCACGCTCCGACGGACGGCGACGATATCGGAGCGATCGCCGCGCGGTGCGCCCGCGGTCGAGGAGACCGAAGAGCGGCGCACCAAGCGGGTCGACCTCGACCAGCGCGAACGTGAGCTCGACGACCTGCGGGATGGGCTCACGCTCAAGGAAAAGGAGCTCTATCTCAAAGAACAGGAACTCACCGAATCCGAGCAGCGCAGTACGCTTCACTTCCTTGTGTGTGTGTCGTGTCGTGTGCCGTGTGTGCGTGTGCGTGTCGTGTCGTGTGTCATGCGTCGTGCGGAAGTTGATCAAATATTGGCGGCGTGCGTGCAGTCAATTCGAAGGAGGGATGGGTCGGGATGCGCGAAAAGGAACTGCTCAAGCTGGAGAAGCGGGTCGACAAACAAAAGGAGAAGCTGGTCAGCCGAGAGCGCGCCCTGGTCGAAGCCGAGGAAAAGCACCGAGGTCCGCCCCCCCCCCAATCCCCTACACGCCACCGCGACTCAAAACAATCCTGACACGCAACACGCAACACGCAACACGCAACACGCAACACGCAACACGCAACACGCAACACGGTGCAGTGGCGGCCATATCAGCGGCCGTGCAGGTGATCAAGTGGGAGGAGATGAAGCTGGGCGAGCTCTTGGGTAGCGGCGCCTTTGCTGATGTGTACAAAGCCGATTGGCGCGGTGACTACGTGGCGGTCAAGGTCATCAAGAACCAGCGCGACGACGACACCTTCCGCCTCCAGTTCCAGCAGGAGTCCCTCTTCCTCAGGTCCTCACCCCTTCGTTCCCCACAAATCGTTGAAATTCTCAAGTCTGTCTGCGTGTGCGTGTGCGTGTGCGTGTGCGTGTGCGGTCGTGCGATGAACAGTAAGCTGCGCCACTACCATGTCGTGCAGTTGATGGGCGTGTGTGTGGAGTATCCGCACATGTCGATCGTCATGGAGCTCATGAGCAACAACACCCTGGCCCACCTCCTCAAGGCCACTCGACGCGGAGAGACCAGGTAAGTGCCCACCTCTTCCCCCCCGCCGCCCCGATTGGGAGCAAACCGCGAGGTGGTCGGTCGCTTCTCTGGGTCTGACCTCTCTGTTGCCGATGATCGAAGGATCCCGGCGCAGCTGCTGCTCCAGTTGGCCAGGGAGATCGCCAAGGGGATGAACTTCCTGCACATGATGGACCCGCCGCTCATCCACCGCGATCTCAAGGTTCGCTCGCCTCGCGCTCGATCAAAATTTTATGACCAACAACCGCTCCATCGCTCACAATTTCTCTCTTCCATTCTCTTGCAGCCGGCCAACATTCTGTTGGACCACCATTTATCTGTGCGTCCCCCGCACGCCTGTGTGTCGTGTGTGCCGTGTGTGTGTGTGTGTGTGTGTGTGTGTGTGTGTGTGTGTGTACCGTATGTGCCGTGTGTGCCGTGTGTGTGTGCCGTGTGTGCCGTCTTACACGCTTTGTGTTTTTCTGCGCAGGTGAAAATTGGAGACGTGGGGTTCATGCAGACCAAGGACGAGGACCTGCGGGAGGGCGCGCAGGACAGCTTCGCCGGCACGCCGTCCTACATGGCCCCCGAGTGCCTGCGGCAGGAGCCCTACGATCAAAAGTGCGACGTCTACAGCTACGGCAACGTACTCTGGGTACGCCACCGCCATCGCCACCTTAACTACTACATCACCACTTTAAACGCCACATTAAGCGCCACCTTAATCATTCGTGCCTCTTGGGTCCATACAGGAACTGCTGACGCAGCGCAAGCCGTGGAAGGGCAAGAAGCGAATGGAAATCGTGGCGCTGGCGGGCTACAACCGGGACAAGCTCCCGATGCCAACGCCCCACAGCCTGCCGGAGGGCGTGCCCCAGGGCCTGCTCGAGATCATGGCCCGGTGCTGGGCCGACGTGCCCTCCGACCGGCCCTCCTTCGCGCGGATTCTCACCCTCCTCCCCGCGCCCACGTCATCGAATTGAACGCAGCAGTTGTCGTGTGTCCACTTAAGGGTGGTGGCGTGAGAGGCCTCATAGTGTACTGCAACTCCAAACCAAAACTATACATAAAACGTATGTCTGTACTTCTAGAAGAAGAAGAAGAAGCGAAGCTATGTCCGTGCACCCCGACTGAGTGGCGGGTCCACCATTTCGGGGGAAGAAGCAAAAAAGAAAAAAATGCCAATAAAAACAAAAAACAGAAGACGCTACTTGAAGTGAAGCAAGAGGGTACCCTGAAGGGGAAGGGTCGTGGCAACCAACAGAGTAGTAGTAGAGCAAGCTTCGGAGCCAAGTAGTGCACACTAATAGACGATGGTTCGTCGTACACACCTCTTTACAACCCCAACAGCCCCCCCCCCAATGGCTTTTTTGCCTGTTATTTATTTTCATATATGTTTATGTTTGTAGGGCGATGAGATGGAGTACAAGTACCTGGACGAGGTGGACGAGACCCTCGAGTGTATGGTGTGCCACGAACCGCTGGTGGACCCCGTCGTGGAGCCCAACTGTCGTGTGACCTTCTGCCGCCGCTGCGTGAGCCCGTGGGTCGCCGAGAAGCACAGCTGCCCGAGCTGCCGCGGGGCTACGTCCGTGGCCCAGCTCCACCCGGCCCCGCGCATCATCACCCAGTTGCTCGACGCCCTGCCCGTCGCCTGCCCCGAGTGCAACGGCCGACACCAACGCGGCAATCTCGCGCGTCACATCCAACTCTGTCCCAAACGTACCGCACACGCCGCACACGCCGCACACGCCGCACACGCCGCACACGCCACACACGCCACACACGCCGCACACGCCACACA